ATTCATGTTTGGAAAAGCCAGGCTTAAATTTATAAAGGTAGAAAAATTAATTTCATGGTTTTAGTTTCGTTAGAGAAAACCATTTGGTTTACTGTCTTTAAACAACATAATTCACTTTTATAAATAGGTTTTGAGATGCAGTAAAATCGCTGGTGTGAAAGTAGCAGAAATTACAGAGCTAATATTGAAAGCTTTGGAGAATGACCAAAAAGTAAGGTAAGTAACTTTTCCAGAACTAAATGGTCTTTTATTTTCATTTTTTAAATATTTACTTTTTTTTTTTTAGTATAGGCAAACTTTATTATGCATGAACTTGATTTCACAAAGTTAGAATGGCAATTTCACTTAAAATTAACTCATTAAAAAGTGTAAATACCATGGTATAGATATGTTATCCAAAACTCCGAAAGGTAGTGAAACTGGTAACAGATATTGCTACTCATCTTTGGACAGACACAATAAAAGTATTAATGAAACTGGTTTCCAGACAAGTGTGTGTCACTTGCTGCTGTGCCTTAGGGAGGAGAGGATGTTATAACACAAGCATTATTGATGCAGTGACTCGTGGATAGTTGCTCCTTACTAACACTGCTAAAATTAGGATCACAGTTTTTACTTTGTGTGGGAGCTGGTGATTCTTGTTTTATGAGGATATCTTTCAGGGTGTTGGCATCAAACCCACTTATTGCAAAATGCATCACAGATGGGAATTTAACGCTGGGTCAAGTCCAGAATTCCAAAACAATGAAGAGGAAAGACCTGCCTAAGAGCAAGAGGTCTTCATTGCTCCAGGCTCCAAGACACAACACAGGGAACAGGAAATGGCCCTAAATGGTCTTTTAATGTATTTTTTCTCTTAAGGATTTTCCTTGAACAAGGGCAACCATATAAACTTCACACTTGATCTTTCCTTATTTGTTAATCGCAATTGAGTGTACTACTTAGTGTGTTTTTAGAAAGTTGATTGGACTTACTATATTTTCTGCAATTTAAATATAACCTATATTGAAAAATCATGTAAGATTTTTGTTTTTTGAGTTGGAGTCTCACTCTGTCACCTAGGCTATAGTGCATTTGTGCAATCTCGGCTCACTGCAGCATCTGCCTCATGGCTTCAAGTGATTCTCCTGCCTCAGCCTCCCAAATAGCTGAGATTACAGATGCATACCACCATGCCCGGCTAATTTTTGTATTTTTAGTAGGGATGGGGTTTCGCCATGTTGGTCAGGCCAGTCTCAAACTCCAGACCTCAGGTGATCCACCCACCTGGGCCTCCCAAAATATTAGGATTACAGGTATGAACCACCACACCTGGAGACCTAAGATTTTTCTTTAACAGTTAACATTTTCTTAGGATAAAAATAATCTAGTAACTCAAATTAATGTAAGGAAACAGGTTGATTCCCATCTCTACTTCTTACTGTGCTATCTTAAGCAAGATATATAACCCAGCATTTCAGTGTCCTCTTCTGTAATATGGGATATTAACACTACCTGGTAGGGCTGATTTGAGGGTTAGAGAATAGTGTATTTTAAGCACCTAGCACATGGTCTGGCACATGGTTTAATAAATGATTATGCTATTGGCTCTTGTTAGGCATAATAAATTGGTGAGGTTAAGTTAGATAAACTAATTCTCTTTCAATATTTTTCATCCACCAAAGGATAATAGTTTTTTTCCCTTCCTGTCTTCTGTCTAATCTGTTACCTTCCTCCCGCTTCCTTCCCACCAAAAAACCCCCCACATACAGGAAAGAAGGTGGAAAGTTTGGTTTTGCAGAGTCTATAGCAAATCAAAGGATCACAGCATTTAAAATGGAAAAGGCCCCTATTGATACCTCGGATGTAGAAGAAAAAGCAGAAGAAATCATTGCTGAAGCAGAACCTCCTTCAGAAGTGTATCTTTATTTGGTGGTTTTTGCAGTAACAAGATTCATAACACTTGGCATTATAATATTAGGCTATATGAAGGATGTATATACTGAAATTAGTTTTTGTAAACACTGTACTTTGTTAGAAAAAACACTTAAAATACAAGATAGTGATGTGAGTCATATTCTGTTGATGGTATAACATTCAGCTTCTCTTCAGTTATCCTGGAAAAACCAGATTGTGTTTTAAGGACCAATTTAATTTAGTACTGTAACTAAAATGTTGAAGCTGTCTCTTCACGTTTCTTATTATTAATTGCATCCATAAAATCTTGCCTGAGTTATTTTTTCTTCTTCATTGTTCAGCCATCCATAGTGTAGCTATATTAAGTTTTTTTTTTCCCTAGGAACTTGAGGCACACTTGAATCAATCTTACAAGAAGAAAACTTTCATTCTCATCTTTTTCAACAGTCCATCAAATAGCAATATTTTTGTTACTCAGTTTTCTTAACTTGTTAAGTGTTTCTACACCTGTGCTGTGGACTCCTGGAACTGCCCAAATTGGAGAGGGAGTAGAAAACTCCTGGGGTGATCTTGAAGACTCTGAGAAGGAAGATGATGAAGGCGGTGGTGATGAAGCTATCATTCTTGATAGTATAAAAATGGACACTGGAGTAGAAGTCTCTGATATTGGAAGCCAAGGTAGGTGACACTTTGTGGCACACTTATTACTATATATTACATATATGTAGTATTTTATATATACAATAATGCATAAAATGTGTATATTAATTTATATTATCACTATATATAGTAATATATAGCATATCAGCTATATAGAGATGTATACTAGATAAATAACATACAGGATACTATATAGAGAGAATATAGATATATAGTTAAATATAGGGATATAAGTATTGCATTTTTAGAGGGGCTAAATATTGTGATTTAAATTTCAACTAAATTATTGTGGCTAACTGCAGTACTAACACGACTTGCTAAAAGAATATGCATATCTTTGTAGAGTAGTGGTACACTTTGGCATAAAATGATAGTGACATTTTTAATTAAAAAAAATTTTTTTTGGTAATGTATTTGGGTGGGTTTTAAGGGAATGAGTTTCTGGAAGATCTTATTCCTCCGTGCTGTCTTTTTTTGTGGTTTCTAGACTGAAACAAAAAGCCCATCCTTTATCGGAACATGTAATACTGTCTAAATAAAACTTTCTGGGATAGAAACATTACACTGGTATAGCAGCCACTAGCCCCACGTGGCTACTGAACACTTGAAATGTGGTTTGTATTACTGAGAACTGAATTTTTAATTTTATTTAATACAAAATTAAGCAGCCACATGTAGCTAGTGGCTACCATACTAGACATTGCAGTATTAGAACATAAAAAAATTCTAGAAATGACTAGAATACTGATAGTCCTAGACGTTGCTTGCATTTTGAAAGCCATAGAACTGAAGAAGTTGTTTTTGTGTATGGTTATTTTTACTTAAAAAAAAAAAAGCAAATTCTTGCTGGTCTAGATAATAGAATAATGACTTATTTTCTTATGTGGTAAGAACAGAAATCCTACAAGGAACTGGGAACTAGGCTGGCAGGGAAAACTGAAGGTGATATGTTTAGTAGGAATGTAAAACAAATACTTCTGTTTTCAAAGAGAGAAATTATGAACACTACTAGAGCCTGAGCTTTTTGTTTTTTTACTTAATAGGGAAGGAAAAAATTTCCCATTGATTGGGACCCTTACTCATATTTCCCAGTGGTTACTTCTATTTGGTATAATTCTTCCAAATACTTGTCCCAGGTATTTATTTACTCTCTGTGCAGTGATGTAAGCTAATGCTGCATAGACTTATGTAGCATTGAATATAACTAGTTGGTTTAACAATTCTCTTATTGTTGAAGATGTAAGTTGTTTCCATTTTTTCACTGTTAACAATATCCTTGCACTTGCATATACCTTATATGTTTGTTTAGTGTATTCTTCTAACAGTGAATAGTATTTTCAATTGAATATAATGAAGGTGGACCTAAGAATTGGAAAAATGGAGCAGGTACAGCCTTTCTAAAGCATGTGAAGAAAGGGAGAAACTAACTGAAAAGTAAAAATACAAAGAATTGATATGGGTTAATTCACGTTTTATGTGTGTCATTAACTAATGATCAGGAGAAAAATGGGCAAAAGACAGGGAGCAGTACTCAAAATATACAAATAGCCAGTAATATTTTTCATGGTCAGCCCTGATAGTAATACAAATAAAATCCAAAGAAAAATGACATGGCATTTTTTGTTACTGTATTTTGGGCAGTATTAAAAATACCAGCAATGCCAAAGGTATATGGGAAATGGGTTTTTATTTATTGGAATGTAAACTGGAACTATTTCTGGAGGAATAGAGTAGCACAAACAATTCAATTGTCTCTACAAAAGATGCTATATAGATTTCCCCCTAACTTTTCTATTATGACATGTACCAAATTGTCACGCCATTCGAGCACTTGCAGGAAATAAGAGTTTAAAGAAACAAATGTTACAGACAAGTTCTAGAGTGCTCTAAGAAGCTGATTTAAAGAGAAGAGTAAGCCTCCACCTAAAGAGTGGCATGGGCTATTATATGCAGATAGTCTTATTTTTATTTATTTTTTAGGATGGAGTCTTCCTCTGTCACCCAGACTGGAGTACAGTGGTACTGCAACCTCCACCTCCCTGGTTCAAGCGATTCTCATGCCTCAGCCTCACGAGTAGCTGGGCCTATAAGCACATGCCACCACAACTGGCTAATTTTTCTGTTTTTAATAGAGATGGTGTTTCACCATGTTGGCCAGGCTGGACTCGAGCTCCTGACCTCAGGTGACCAAAATGACCTCAGCCTACTAAAATGCGGGGATTAAAAGTGTGAGCTACCACGCCCAGCCCAACCCCAGCAATAAGAGTTTTAGAACGTCTGATAGAAATAAACTTGTGCAGAAGTAAATATTGCAAGAGATTGCTTACCCTTTTTTTTTTTTTTTTTTTAAAAAGATGCTCCCATAATACTGTCAGATAGTGAAGAAGAAGAAATGATCATTTTGGAACCAGACAAGAATCCAAAGAAAATAAGGTAACACGTTTCTGGTTTATTTCAAATGTATATATATATATATTCAACACTTCTAGAGGTTTGCTCTCTGGTTTTACTCTCATCTTGCCACACGACTATAAACAAAAAGACGTCCCTTTTTCATTAGCGATCCATCTGTTCTGTGATTTCTTTACCTTGTGATTTATAAAAATTAGGACCAAAATCTATAGAACTCTTTGGATGCTAGTCTTACACATTTTATATCCTATTGGAAACCTAAGAAATGCCTCTTATTTCAATAATCCAAAACTTAACAAGCATACGCTTAGTAAATTCTTACTTTATTCACAGAACACAGACCACCAGTGCAAAACAAGAAAAAGCACCAAGTAAAAAGCCAGTGAAAAGAAGAAAAAAGAAGAGAGCTGCCAATTAAAGCTAACAGTTGTATATTTGTATATATAACTATTAAAAGGATATTTATTCCATTCTAAGAACCCTGGGTATTTTTTATTCACAAATCCATTATAAAATCTAGCAGGGTTTTAAAAATAGTTTTTTGTTTTTAATGTTATGCTTTAAAATAATAAACCTTCTGGAGCATTTCTCGTCTGTTAATTTGCACGTAAGCTTCCCACCCTCTTCTGCTCCCAGCCTCTGTTTAGTTTGCAGAACCTAAACAGGTTTTACAAAGAGTGAAAAAGTCTGTATTCAGATATGCTTAGATTATGCCCATCAGCAAATTGATCCAGTTGCTTAGGAAAATGAATGTTAGAATTTGAGGGTCTGTTTTCCTAAACCTACTTTAATTTTAGAGGAAGGTTTTCACTTCCCATTATATAGTAAACCAAGTAAACTTTTTAAATTGAAATCCTGAAGAAGTTAAATTTGACTTGCGAAGTTTTCCAAATCAATTTATTATCCTGACAGCTGGCATCATTAATACTTTAACAAAACCACTTAAAATTAGCCAAATATCTAAGACAGATACATATACAAAAGATATACAAATTAAAACCATTTAAAAAGTAATAGATACCATAATTTGTACTTGGCCATAACTTCTGTATTCAGAAATGATTGTAAAATTAAAACCTAAGTTAAAAACTGTACACCATATACTTTGAGTGATTTACATCTTAGAAAACAAAGGCAGTCTTTCATTGTTACAGATTTAGTGTCTCTGGTGGGTTGAGGAGAGAAACACCATGATACCTGTAAGTAGGAAAAAAAAAAAACAAAAACATTTTTAGTAAACAGTCACTGGGTAAAGGAGATCATGGAATAATGTTTGTACTCATGTATTGGGAACTAAAAAATGCTATTTCTCTCTGACCGAGTTGATGGTGTTAGAAACATTGGTCCCTGAAACACACATGCATGCCCCTCTTCCTTCTCTCTCCTCCCCCAGACCCAGGGCAGAAAGCATGAACTGCAACCTTCTTCAAACACATAACCAATTAAGAGAACAGCTTCTTAAGGAGGCTATGGCAGATTCATGAATGAAGTTAAAATGTCAAAGATCTCTGAACCATAATCTAGAAAAGTAAGCTTCCATATTCAAGTTAATTCTTACTTTGAATTTTTGTACTTTTCTCTTATTGACTGTTGTGCATGCTGTGGAGCTTTGAGGTAGGTCTGGTGAAGGTCCATGAGACAAGGCTTAAGACTTTCCAGGGTATATCCAGTCTTTCGTATTAATGATTCAGGCTACAGAGAAGGGAATAGGAAGCCCTGAGTTGTGCTTTTAGTAACAGACACCAGTTAATAGTTAGCATTAAGCTTATGTTAAATTTCAGTACTAATCTTTATAACTTTTCCAACTACTAGCTTTCTCAGGCCATTATTCCATCTCTCGATCCATTTTTTACTACTTTCTCTGCCAGCAACAGGTCAGATGCTTTTTAAAAAGCTCACCTTTCAATCCAAGTTACAACTAAGCTTACTACCTAACAAAAAGCTACTGTTCAACAGGTAACATGCCTTAAACAGTATATAATCATCCCTCAGTATCCATGAGGGATTGGTTCCAGGACCCTCCCCAAGTATACCCAAATCTGTACATATTCAAGTCCTGCAGCCACCCTTCCATATATATGGGTTTTGAATTCCCTGAATACTGTAGTTTCAATCCACATGTAATTGGAAAAAAATCCATGTGTAAGTGGACTCACACAGTTCAAACCTGTATTTTTCAAAGGTCAACTGTATATATTTGAAGTTTTTCCAAGTAAGAACATCTAGGCAACCCTCAGTTTTGTAGGACAATTATTATTTAATCTGGCATAGGCATTTCAGTCACAAGATAGGTGTGTGAAGACCGTAATACATACCCAGCTTTGTCCTGTGACTGTGTAGAGTGCTAAATGAAAGGCGGCTCCAGCAATAACTGATGGCAAATACTTTAGGTATGGGTCAGCATCTATCAAACTTAATTCTCCCAAAAACTGGAATAAAAAATACTTTATGATCACAAGAGCGTTTAGAATTCAAATGTCAAACCTCTGCCTTCTAACCTAATTTTTTCCTGCCTTTGATAATGGCTCTGTAGCAACCCTAGAAAAAAATATTTCACAGCCTCATCTTTAAACATATCAATCATTTTAGTGTTTTGTTCCATCCTCATCCTGTATTTTCCCTCCTTTATTAACTTTTAAAAAACAATTCTTCTGACTACCCATCCCCAAGATGTCATCCTTAGACCTCTGCTTCTAGTGCTTTCCTGATATAGATTATCTTTTGCCAGCAGCAGGCTTTCTTCCATACTGCAGCATTAATCTCCATCTGAATACTAAATCTCTTCACCATGCTGTACAAAGGAACTACGTTCCTGTACAAAGGAATTAGGGCTTACATTACCTAAGAATCGCCATTCAACAAAATGAAAGTTAACTCACCATTGCTAAACTTTCAACTTTGCTGTTTGCAGGCTGCTGATGCAGAAAGTATTGGGTAAGAAACTGATTTACTGTTGGAGCAGCTAAGTCAAAAGTAAGGACTTTCAAAACTAGATGCTCCATTCTCAGAACTTGTTTCTTGGTGTAGGTATCATCTGTAATGTACACAAACTCTGCTACTTCTGGGGGGTATATTTCTTCAAACTTTCTACAATGAAAAAAGTTTTAAGTAATCAGTCCTAAAAGAGAAGCAAGCTTCCTTATCCCAATTCTGAAATCCCATTAGCAGAATATATGGAATGAATCCAAAATCCATACCCACTGCATTTCCAGATACTTGATCATCATTTCTAGTAAAGACTGGATAGCTAATTGCTAATTAAAAGGCCCAAATCAATAAAGGACTTTTGAGATATTTTTCCCAGTTCAGTCAAAGGAAGTAAATGAAAGGCATGAGACTTCTCAAGATGGGAACAATGCCGGAGTTCACCAAGTAGCTGAAAATTTAGGAAATACAAATCTTAGGAAAACATGTTTCAAGTTTTCATTTTTAAATTGTTTTTTTTTTGAGACAGTCTTGCTCTCTTGCCCAGGCCAGAGTGCAGTGGTCCAATCTTAACTTACTGCAACCTCCCCGCTCCAGGTTCAAGCGATTCTCCTGCCTTAGCCTCCCCAGTAGCTGAGATTACAGGCATGTGTCACCATGCCCAGCTAATTTTTGTATTTTTAGTAGAGACAGGGTTTCGCCATGATGACCAGGCTGGTCTCGAACTCCTGACCTCAAGTGATCCGCCCACCTTGGCCTCCCAAATTGCTGGGATTATAGGCGCAAGCCACCGCACCCAGCCTTTACTTCTTAATAAAAGAGACACTGCTTATATGCCAGAAAGTAATATTGGAAGGAAAATGTTTTAAAATTTCTAACCTAGTGTACTATATCGTCTTCAAGGAATCCAGTTTGGGGAAAAACAGTGTTATAGATTAGAACACAGTTTCATCCTCCACTTCCCCAACCCCACCACATTGCCATCCCTGAAGTAGTCACTGACTCTCTGCCTGGTGTATGTTAAAAGGTCACCATTAAAAATCAGTTTCTTCCCTAGACAAAAGATCGTGATCACTTTTAAACAAACCAAGGTAGACTTACGAGGCTAACAGCATAGCAGCAGTGCCCACAAGCTGAAGCTTTCCTCTCAGCACTGACATGGAAGAAAGGAACCTATCAATGTAGTTCACAGCCAAATGCAGGGTCTCATTCTGTAGTTTATATTCTTCTCCTACTTCAACTAACCAGTCCACGAGGATAGCTCTCATACTGTTAGTGATGTCTGGCTGTTTCTTCATGTAACCCACTTTAGGTTTACATTTAACCTATTGAGAAAAGTATTTAGTAGTGTTAAAATTGCAATTAGATTATTTTACAATTAAGAGAGGCTACATGCTATAAACTTAACTGTAGCATTAGAATAATTCATTAGTTTAAAAATTTAAACATTATCCTCTCAATTTCATTTAGCCACATTTAACAAATACATTACACAAACTGGATTCAGAGAACCTTTACCTCCATTTCCCTAAGGTATGTGTGAATATCCTCATGGTAGTCTGGTACTTCATTAACACTCACTGGCTTTTCATCTTCTAATACAATTGACATGTCCATAGTATGTGGTGACTCTGGGACAATTAAAAAGATATGATTAAATTAATTGTTTGTCTACTTAGTTTAATAGCTAAAAATGACTGCCCTTGTAAGGAATTTCATATTAACAAAGCACTTATTTCATCAAACTAAAAAGAGCTTCTCATGACGAAAAAGGTAGAATATTTTACCTTAGTCTCAGTATCTCTGTACATATAGCTTTGGAATGATTTTAGTTAATGAAGGGGGAAAGAAAACCATATTAGTAGGCCCCTAACAGGAAAACGAGAATCAGGTATTATCTTAAAGTATCCATCTTCCACAACAGAAAGGAGCAGATGGCATGGTGGTTCTGTTAGGACAGAACATTTAAAATCCAAGTTTTGAGATAATATCTAAGATTTGCCCTAAGAGAGACTGCAGATCCCAGAGTCTGACATAAACAAAGCCCAATTAGGCGATAGCTAGAATCAGTTAAATGGCCTCCATTAACAAGTGTTATTAAGAAATTAGGTTTGTTATGGGCAAATGGATTAACACTATAAATTTATTTTTTGTAGTATAAATTATCTTTTGAAGCAAAGAGTATCATCCATTATTCTTTTCGCTTCAAAGATCACCTTGAGATTAAACATTTTCTGCAAAATTTTGATAAAAACACACAAATTATTATTTCCAAAGGACTTTTCCTGCTCACCCCTCCTTCCCCACGATCAATACAACTAAAACTAAAATGAGACTGGATTTAGTGAGCTGTCCAGTGACTTGATATCCCTAGGGCAAAGAAACAGTACAAACTGCAAAGAGCTGTTTGCAGCAGCTACTTTAATACATGGGTAAGAGTAAACAGCCATGGTACAACTGTTTACTTGTAGGAGGAAAAGTGTCACTTTCTGGTATCAGATGATAATCCAGACTGGTTTTATAGAAACAAAATTATAAAACTGGAAGAGATGTTATGTAATCACAATATTTAAGACTGCATCTTCAAATAGCACTCTCTAAGTGATATATAAGTGAGTTAAATAAAACTGAAATCTATTCTCCCAACCAAGAACACATTTATGGGATCAGATTAAAATAAGCATTTAAGATCTAATTATAATTAGACTGATGTGACTGGCAGTGAACCTGAAAGAGCACTAGGTTAGGATCCTTTTGTACATCACCAGGTCGAGTGTTAGCTGTGAGATCTGAGATAAGTCACATCCTTTCTAAGCCTTGTTACATTAAACCTAACTCACTGTAATCAAAATGACTACATAAGACATCTTAAAATGCAAATCATTAATATCTAATAATTATAATTACCGTAAATTCATATAGATTTTCCTTAAAACTTACCAAAACTACCATCCATTGGATAATCAAGAGGGACCAATGGTTTTCTGGGTCCAGGTAAACTAATGGCTGAATTAAAAGCCAGGGCATCTTCACGCTCCGTTTTTTGAGATTCAGCTGGCTTCTTCTGAGTCTCTTTTTCTGCTTCATCCACATGAATGGTGAACGCAGGCTGTTTACTGTTTGCTTTCCAAGGAGGAACGGTGACATGCTCATCATTTACAGGAAGATCCTTAAGGGGTGCAACCTAAACAAAAATAAGTAACTGGCTTTGAGCCTACTAAATAGTTTTGCATTCTTTCTCTTATGGGTGTTGGCCTTTGCTTTTTCTCCCAAATACTCTATCAGGAATTAAACTTTCTGGGACAAACAATAGTTTGAGTATTCAAAAGAGAAGGGATGTTCCCATTTGTCACAGGCATTCCCACAAAGGCTATCAATAGATAACACTAGGTGGAATTATGCAAAACTAATCAGGGCCACAAGAAGGGTCGGGTGGCAAGTCAATACATGACAAGTTTAGGAAAGACATGGCAAAAAAGTGTTGGTTCACCACTGTCGCCCGAGGGTGGAGCAACAGAGCAAATCCGGCTAAAATGGCGGAATTTGCCAAAAGCAAAGTTATTTCGTACACCCTTTTCTAAAGTAGAGGTTATCTCTTAACCATGAGGAGGAGGGGGGTCAGAGTCCTACAGTAGTGCCTGGGGTTTAAAAGTGGAGAGAAAGGCGCGGAGCTGAGCGAAGACTACACGTTTTAGAGCTTGGTTTGACCCCATTATGTACAGGCAGATGCCACCTATAGAGAGCAGACAGGCAGCATACACAGTGTTGGCGGGGTCCTGATGCTAATAATGGGAGAATTCCTATTGTGGCATCCCACACACCAGCACCAAGTGGACTCCAGACCCTGGCCCCCTTCCAAAAGCCCAGGACATGCCTTCTCGCCACTCTTCTCTGCCTGCTAAGCCAGTGCCAAACCCTGCTCGACCCACCCTCCTGCAGACATCCCGCATCCCTTTACCCGTCGCGTCTTCGGCCTCTGCTGCTGCGCTAGACCCCGCGGGTTCCCGGCCTTCAGTACCGCCAGCGCGGCCCGGGTCCGCGGTTGCTGGACGGGCGCTGCCTTTTCCGGGTTGATATTCTCCTGGTCCTCTTGGAGCGCAGTCTGCTGCAATGCTAGTAGCGCTGAGCCCGCCTCGCGGGTCGCAGGCCCCGGCGCGGAGTTGCCCAACATCACTACTCCCGGGAGTGGACGGCGGGATCAGCCTGCGGCGCCAAGCAGCGTGCACTCTGCCCAGCCCACCCGGCCAAAGAACAGTCGTAGCCGCCGGTCGCAGCCCAGGCCAGCCTACCCGCCCGCCCGCTCACCCAGCTCGAGACCACGCAGGGTCGAGGAGGTTGCGAAAGGCGCAGGAAGGCACGGCCGGGCGTGGCGGGCCAAAGACACCCCGAGATGTAGCGAGCAGCCCGCCGGAGCGGCGGCTGTTCTTGCAGTTCAAGTATCCCGCGACTATTGAAATGGACCAATGAAAGCGCTCGCGGCCTTGACGTCATTCGAGGCGACAGGGTCGCAAGCGAGTGAAGGAAGCACCAAAGGAAACTGAGCAGGGGCGGGGCAGGAGGGAGAAACGAACTGGGGCTGGGGCGGGAGAAAACGCCTGCGCGGGTCGGGGAGAGCTAGGGGTACTCAGGGCCCGAGCTTCCGATTACTTTGAGCCACCTGGAGAGCGAGGCGGTCCAAAGGCTGACTCTAAGCCTTTTAGGGAATTAAGCGGAATTAAACTTTGGCGACTATCATTTGGGCTGCCCAGCCTTTAGCTCTGGGACCTCTAGTTAGCTCAAGTGACTTTTTCCCAAGGTCTAAAATCTGGACCACGTTTTTCAGTATCTCCGATTCTCCGTTTTCTTATTTGTTAATAGGGACTAATAACTACAGTCAAACGGTTATTAGGATTAAATAATGTGCATAAATTAACACGGAGCTCACATAGTAAGTAATACAGTACTCAAGTGTCAGACTGTAGTAATATCATCTTAACATTTAGGCATTTATTCATAGTAACCAGAAATTGTGTTTTATGCTTTTTATTTTTCCTAATGAAGATGCAATTAAGTGCCACCTTGAACTACTGTTGATATATATATATAATAAATATACAATGCATTACAAAATATTCAAATAGAGTCATTAATTTTTATCTATTTTTCCCCAAGCTGTGGCAGCCAACAAAAAATACAATGACATTCTAGTGACCTAGATAAATTATGTTCCTTTCAGAAGTAAAGTTTCTTTAAATATAGTAAAAACAATATGATCTTATTAAAATAAAATTCTCTTAACTATATATGTGCCTGTAACAAATTTTAATATTTATATACAAAGCTTGCACGTACCTAGTAAGTATAATAGCATATCATTAAGAAGCATTGTTTTCTAAAAAATTAGTGAGTCTGCCCTTCTTGAAACAAAGCTTATTTTCCATTATCTTTATGCCATTTTAAGACGTTTCAATATTTCTTTGAAATTAATAAATATGAATTAAGATTAATGTACAAAACTTCTGTAGCCTTAATGTCATATATGATAAAAAGAGATCATACTGGTGTAGGAAAATCTAAGATGGCATCACTATTTCTGCACTCTTCACTTGTAGCATGCTTGAATAGCTCCACTGGTTACAGCATGTCTAGTTAAGATCCCCCGACTCTGTGTAAGCTCTTATTTCCCTGACTACAATTTATAGCACTGAGCCAAGTCCAGCATTTCCACAAACTGCAGCAGAGTCATAAAACATCACCAAGCAAAAGGAAAATCAGTTGCAAATCAATCCTATCTCCTAGAAAAAATAATTGGTAGGTTACTTCCACTAGCTGGCAACATACATAGTAACCAGGACACAAAGCAAGTACCAGTACTTGGGTTCTGGTCCCAGCTTTATAAAGTACTAGCATGTCCTCTTAATCGCAAAATTTCACTGAGAATCAGTTTTCTTATATGATTTGACAAACTTATACAACAGTTGTTAAGATCAAATAAGGTAATATATAAAAATACATTTTGAAACCTATAAAGCAGTTTATATATTTATGTGTTTATGTACCTTGTAATACATTTGCATATATTTTCATTTTCCACATATTACTTCTCAATTTAAAAATTAAAACAGCCACTTATCAAAAATTCATTAAAATCCTATTTAAATCATTCTATTTGTGTTTTAAAAATAAAAACTCTTAGAAAGTTCAACTTGGCAAAAGAAACAGAAGCATTACTTTAAAAAGCCATTATATCTCAAATATTTTTAGATATAAAAAAGCAGTTGAAATTAAAGTAGGTACACAGTTAACTTCTAATTCTGTTTTAACATTTTTCATTTAAACAGACCACTTCTTTGGGACTTTACCTTATTTGTATTTCATGCTGCATCAAAGAATGAAATCAATGCATTTTGGTCATAACTGTCCAGAATTTCCAATAGAAGGGGTACTTTAGTTTTTACATTGGTGCCTTTGAACTTAAATTTATCTATGAAAAGATCAGTGATCATGCCTATAAAGAAAAAACATAAATTTCCTGTCAGTGATTAGTTATATTTAATTACACAGTATTTCACTAAAGTAATTGCTTGATAATCTATTTTTAAGCACCTGTAATTCCATTATTTAACATACACAAACCTAAAAGCCATGATGTTTTTAAAAATATTCATTTTGGGGGGATTTTAAAATAAGTTTCAAGATATAAATAGTTTGCCTAATAACCCTCTTAACAATTGATTACAAGCTATTAATTCAGACAATCAACTACTGGTCATTTTTGAACTATCAGTATATATAACATTACAACAAGTGGTATCTTTTTTCCACCAAGCAGACCATTTTGACATAGTATAGGCAGATTCTATTTTTAACAGCTTATCTGAATTAAAATATTCCATTTACATGTTGACCATTCTTGGGATTTGACTTGAAGGCAAATAGTCCTAAGTTCAAAGATCTGGGCAAATCATTTCGCCTTGAGTTTTCTCATATGTAAAATAGGAATTATTCAAGCTGTAAATCCTTTATCCAAAAAGCTTGATGCAAGATGTATTTCAGAATTTTTCCTATTTTAGGAAGATAATGAAAGGAATATACTATAGTATTAACCCCAAGGGGACTGAGTGGCAGCATTCAATAGCAAAACATAGTACTATTTCTGTCACAAAATATATGGATGAATATTTGCACTAAGTGGAATAAAAAAGATATAACTTCGGGCTGGGCACCGTGGCTCACTCCTGTAATCCCAGCACTTTGGGAGGCTAAGGTGGGCAGATCACGAAGTCAGGAGTTTAAAAGCAGCCTGGCCAATCTGGTGAAACCCCGTCTCTACTAAAAGTACAAAAAAATTAGCTGGGCATGGTGGCATGCACCTGTAATTCCAGCTACTCAGGAGGCTGAGGCAGGAAAATTGCTTGAACCCAGAGGGCAGAGGTGGCAGTGAGCCAAGATTGCACCACTGACTCCAGCCTGGGGACCAAGCAAGACTCTGTCTCAAAAAAAAAAAAAAAAACCTCCTGTCAGGTTAAGTCAAGTTTTGTTATTAAATTAATTCAGATTAAGTCAAGATTTTGCTGTCAAATTATTTATGAAAAAAACTTTGATTTACAAAGCTGTCTGGATTTTGCAATCAGTGATGTTATGTACAGCCAATCTCATAAGTTATTACAAGGATAAAAGAGATCATGTGCTTGCCATGTAATAAAGGTTAAGACATTAAATACAGCCACAGTTTGCGAGAAAGTCTCTGGATATATAATAAGAAATTCAGTAGGCAGGCTTAAGGATCAGTGTGGACTAATGATACCAATTGGCTCTACAGTGACTATGGAAGACTTGGCATAGTGTAAAAGGCATGCATTTTGGAGTGAGAAGATTCTAATGCAGGCATTATCACTAGCTTGCTAGGTGACAACAAATTCCTTAGACTCAGATTTCAGTTAAAGTGTATGAAAAATGAAGATAATACCACTTAACGTTGCAGAGCTATTGTAAGGATTAAATATCTCACCTGATTATGAAGACAGTGTAAATAGTGTGCTATATACAACAGGTCTTATGTAAAGATTGCTAATAAAATTGTTTGTCTTAAGCTGTTTCTTCCTTCCTCACTCCTTCTTTCCCTCCCCTCACCTCCTTTACTCTGTTTCAATACAATTTGTGAAACATTCAACTTCTCACCACCAAAGTAAGTTTGGAATTGTAAATTGACACAACACGAATACTGTATATCCTTTATTAAATTTTGCCTTAAAATTTTTAAATGCTGCATTTTTATATTTCATAATAGCAACAAAACATGACAAATATTTGTGTGAAATACAGTCTAAGCTCTAAAGGTTCATAGACTACATTCATTTTATACCAGGTTTGTTCATATATATAGATTAATTCATCACGGTATACTTATTTCTTAATATACTTGTATTTTATCAAGTAAGAGAATTAAATATTAAAAGTGGCTTGACAAAAGACAGAAATATCCTGTGCAATAAATTGGTTGTCAACTGATTCATGACTGGTTCATGAATCATGACTGATGTAATCTTTTTATCTTTCTGCCCAGCTTCTCTTATATGATCCTTGGGAAATAGCCAGTTGAAAAGAAATATGGCAAGGTATTCTAGAATGGTCCACTAACCATAGAGTCTTTCAAGATGTGCAGGTTGCTTTTTGTATTCTTCCTGTAGGTGATCTGCCTCTTCTAGAATACAGCGATATTCTGGTATCAAAAAGTTCATATTTCCCTCATGAATCTGCAATTCCTTATTTAAAATTAAAAACAGAAGCACCTTAATATTCAAAATTCAATCCAATGTAATGTTAAAGTAACGATAATTTTAGAAATCCTGTGACTTAAAATAATAATCACCAGTCCACGACAACACATGTACTTACTTTTAAAGCATCAATTAACTGCACTTTCTTAGCCAAAAGCAACTGGTACTCCAGCTTTGGGTGGATTAGCTTTAAAGTGTGTTGGACTGATACTTCATTTATCTCTAGAAGGAGGTGACCAGATGCAGTTAGATAAATCACTTTGATCAGAAACATTAATAATGTAACAACAACACAAAATAAACATCAGAAAGAATTATTAATTTTGTTTGTTTCTTTACCGTATGATATGTTGAGGTTAATTTTCCTTTTTGTAGCTTCTTTAGAAAGCACATCTTTTAGGATGGAGATAGTAGAAATGTTGTCAGATTTAAAAACTCCCTCTCCTTTTCTATAAAATTAATATATTTTTTAAAAGAATAGCTGTAGCAGGAAATTGTCCAGTACATATATATTTTATGATTAGTACTTAGTGTATAGATTTCATTTGACTGTAGATTTCTTTTGTATACATATATCATTAAAGCAAATTTAAACATGTAATCCTTTACTATTATATTAATTCAGCTTCTGAATATACTCGTAAAACTAAACAAAAGATATATGCCTCCTAAAGATGTGACAATTTGTATAAAAACTTCATTTAAAACAACTTTTACCTTCACTTTTCACTAATATTTCCAACAGCCAACCTCATATATATACATATATAAAATGCACTTAGAATTGCTTACTTACATAAGTGTGTTTTTCTTTCATGTAATCACACAAATTACAATGTGACTATATGCTTTATCCTTAAAAGAAATCTGATATCAAATATGTAAGAATGAAATCTGCTGTTTTTCATGCTCAGCATCCAATGCCACTGCTTATGGTCAGAGGACCGTTATTTTTCTTTTCTTTTTTTGAGACAGACTCTCATTCTGTTGCCAGGCTGGAATGCAGGGGCGCGATCTCGACTGACTGCAATCTCCACCTCCTGGGTTCAAGCGATTCTCCTGCCTCAGCCTCCCAAGTAGCTGGGATTACAGGCAGGCGCCACTACACCCAGCTAATTTTTTTGTATTTTTAGTAGCGATGGCATCTCACCATGTTGGCCAGGATGGTCTCGATCTCCAGAACTTGTGATCCGCCCGCCTTGGCCTCCCAAAGTGCTGGGATTACAGGCATGAGCCACCACGCCCAGCCAGGATCGTTATTTTTCTTTAGGGTACCACTCCTCTTTCTCTTGCCCTCTTCAGTCCATATAGTTTCAGTGGCATTGGTCTCAATCTATTTATGGGACTTCAGGAGGAAGCATTGAGCAGTACATTCCATACCCCTGACCACAGTGGTTCATGGCTTGACAATGAAACTCAATCCTGGGATTTTTACTGGAGCTAGTGGGCAAGAGAAGTTCTATAGCAGCTGAAAATATATACAACTGGATTCTAGGAACTGCTGGTGGCCATAACACTGCATGGTAAAGCCAAGAAAAGATAAAAGCAGAACTGAACATGGGATAAAATCTTGATGACGTCAATTAAGCCACTGATCCAGTTGTGCATGAGGCAGATTACTGCTAGACTTTTGAGTTATGTGAGATGATAAATTTATTTTATTTGGTTAAGCTGCTTGCATTTGATTCCTTTTTACGATGACCAAGTTTCCTAATTAATATATATCATCTTTTATATAGTTAATGCCTTTTCATTTGGTTTTCACACACACACAAATGATGTATGCCAACTAGCTATATGCAAATGATAATTGCTTTGGCCTGGTGTAGTGGCTCACGCCTGTAATCCCAGCACTTTGGGAGGCCAAGGCAGGCAGATCACTTGAGGTCAGGAGTTCAAGACCTCATGTTGGCCATGGTGAGACCTGTCTCTACTGAAAATACAAAAATTAGCCAGGCGTGGTAGCACACTCCTAAAATTCCAGCTGCTCAGGAGGCTAAGTCATGAGAATCACTTGAGCCTGGGAGAAGGAGGTTGCAGTGAGCCAAGATTGCGACACTGCACTCCAGCCTGGGCTGATGAGTAAGACCCTGTCTCAAAACAAACAAAAAAAAAAAAGATATTTTTTTTTCTGGAAATGAATAATACACTTACTACTTTGATCTCAATTGTGTTTTAGAAATCATGACATTTCTATTAGTCTTTAATCTTAACAGATGATCTTTAGTAAACACATAGTGCCAGGTACTATAGAATGACTCAAATGGTTATCTTCTTTTAATCATCATAACAATTCAATAAAGTAAGTGCTATTATTTTCATTCTTCAGAAAAGAAAACTGAAGCTCAGAGAGTTAAGCAACCAGCTAGGGTCACATAGCTGGTAAGTCACAGAGCCAGGATTCAAATCTAAGTACATCTGCCTGCAAAGCACATACGTCTACACTACCTCCATACACATATATTTTATTCAGGCATCTGAAAAACATCTGTTGAGCATCTATTATGTGCAAAACTATGTTTTAGGTCCTTGGAGGCTACATACAAAAATATTTAAAATTAGACTGTCCACAAAAATAAAGTTTAACGCAGAGAAATAAGTTTATATAAAAATTATTAGGGGCCAGGCGTGGTGGCTCATGCCTGTAATCCCAGACTTTGGGAGGCCAAGGCAGGGAGATCATGAGGTCAAGAGATCGAGAACATCCTGGCCAACATGGTGAAACCCTATCTCTACTAAAAATACAAAAATTAGCTGGGCATGGTGGCACATGCCTGTAGTCCCAACTACTTGGGAGGCTGAGGCAGGAGAATCACTTGAACCCAGGAAGTGGAGGTTGCAGTGAGCCAAGATCGCGCCACGGCACTCCAGCCTGGTGACAGAGCGAGACTCTGTCTCAAAAAATATATAATAAAAAATAAAAAATAATTATATACTTTAAGCAGATAACAATAAATATCACAGACAAGTAAGAAAAAAATGCTATGGAAACAGAGAAGAGAATCAAGGAAGGCTTCAAAAATGTAGCTACTGCTGGGTACGGTAGCTTGCACCTATAATCCCAGCTACTGAGGAGGCTGAGGCAGGAGGATTACTTGAAGCCAGGAGTTTGAGACCAGCTTGGGCAACACAGTGTGACCCTGTTTCTTAAAAAAAAAAAAAAAGAAAAAGTAGCTATTAAGCTGGACCTTAAAGGATAAACAGTTTTGAATCTTAAGAAAAAATATTCAAAGCCACAGAATGATAAAGAGCAAAGGTGTGCTATTATAAAAGTATATAATATGCTAGGGGCATATTGAATTGTCTGCTATGATTAATGTGTGAGGTTCATTGTGGTACTTCAAAATGGGAGTAATTATTACAGGTTTAGACACAGATAAGCTTCCTTGGACGGTATAGTGAAAAACCTCCATAGAGTGGATGTTAAAACCAATTAGATTTCTGAAGAGTTCTAAAAGGCTGAATTCCTGGTTCTAAAAGGCTGAATTCTGAGGTAAAATTATGTTTTTAGAACAATACTGTTATTATTTTAAAATAACAAGAGAAGCAAAAGGTATTCTACTTCTTGCTCCTGAGTTGAGAGAACTTAGGAGAATACCACAATTATATGCTTAGGGAAAGACCCTTAAGAGGCCAGAGAAAGAATAATGAGCTCTCTCCCAGACAACACAAAGCAAAACAAAAACAAAAACAAAAACACACACACACAGAAAACAAAAACAACCTACAGGCCAGGTGTGGTGGCTCACACCTATAATCCCAGCACTTTGGGAGGCCAAGGCAGGAGGATTGCTTGAGCTCAGGAGTTTGAGACCAGCTTGACCAACATGGTGAAACCCTGTCTCTACAGAAAATAAAAAAATTAGCTGGGCATGTTGGTGAATGCCTGTGGTCCCAGCTACTCAGGAGGCTGAGGTGGCTGGATCACTTGAGCCTGGGAGGTCGAGGCTGCAGTAAGCCAAGATCATGCCACTGCACTCTAACCTGGGTGACAGAATGAGAGCCTGTCTCAAAACAAACAAAAGGAACAAACAAAAAACAACCTACAGATGTGAGAAAGAATGAAAAAGGAAAGACTCTGAAGAAGCAGGAGGATCCAAGCTCAATGGGTAGATGTAGAGAAATTAGCCTTGCCCAAGAAGTAGGCCATTTCACATTCAGAGACAGGTTAAAAAAAAAAGGAAAAGTTTAGCTTCTACTATATTGAGAAGTTGAGAGGAATTACTGGAGCTTATAGAAGATGAGTTAGAGGTAATGGTGGAGGAGCGACGGGTGTAACTAGAAGCTTGAGAAGAGTGTAAAACAATATAATGACCTCCAAACTGTATCAGAATAGCTGCGAAAAACCTGCATTTTCTAAGCCCTAAACTTCTAAGCCATGTTATATTTGTGCGTGAAGAAATTCAACTGGAGTTTTTATTGGAATTAGGATAAATATTCAAATCAATTTGGGTAGGACTGTCATCTTTTACAATGTCTTCATATTGATGACTATAGAATATATTACTCCATTTAATCAAGTCATTTATGTCAATAAAATCTTACAGTTTTCGTCATGTAACTTCTACATATTTCTGATTAAGAATATGCCTACAGATTTTATCTGGCTATTTTGTTATTGTTATTGCTACTCTGAAAGGGTCTTTTAAAATAATTTATTTTCTCACTAGTTATTGTTATTGTTGGGAACTTAAGAAATGTATTGATCTTTGCATATACATCTTTACTCAATCGCTTTTCCAAACTTACTAATTTGATTTGTTTTTCAATAGATTATCTTGAACAGTATATATTTTCAATCAGATTACTCACAAATAACTCCTAACTTAAAGGAAAACTTAGAAGCTACATTTATATAAAATGACACTTGTGAACCAGTAATAAGTTTGATTTACCTGTAGATACTTTCAAGTTGTGTATCTAGAAAGGTGTTCTGAAAGTAAAATGTCACACATTCTCCTGCTGGAGGTTTTTCTGGAACTTCAGGCAGACAAAAAACCACCCAGGAGTGAACTTCAGCAAAACTGAACTGGCCTGTTAGAGTCAGTGTATTCATGGGTCTGTAATACAATAGTAGAGGCACATATTTATGTGTGGGAATACATGAAGGTATTATCTGTACACATTAATAAGCAGAATTTTGTAATATTTGTTAAATAAATATAAATGAAAACATTCAATTTTCTCAGATTAATCTTATACGTAAAATAAATGAACATTTCAATTTCATGAAAAAAATCGAACACTTACCTATACCTGCACCTGTGCTAAGTATCAGTTAACTGATATATGTAAACAGGTTTTATTCATTATAACATGTTTTCAAATAAAATTCCATTTATTTGGGAATATTTCATTTTTAAAAAGTTTATTTATTTTTTTTATTTTTATAGAGATGAGGTCTTACTATGTTGCCCAGGCTGGTCTCGAACTCTAGGGCTCAAGCAATCCACCTCCCTTGGCTTCCCAAAGTGCTCAGATTACAGGTGTGAGCCACCATGCCCAGCCCTCATTTTAAAAAAGCTTATCTAGTATTTCTACTACATAAACTACAAAACATACTTATACAAGAATCTCCTTAGGGAAATAATCAGTATAGTGTGAAGGCAAAGAATTGGGCTTTTGAGTAAGACAGGCATGGGTTGTTCCATTATTTACTAGCTCTGTGCCATTGGACAACTTACAGAATAATACCTTCTATCTTCCCGAAATATGGGATCATACTTTCTATCTTGCAAAAGCACACACTAAAGTAACATAAAAAAAACTGTAAAATAAATCAAATTTAAAATAAATCAGATGGATAATTATAAAGAGTTAAGAAAATGCAATTTATGAAATGAAAAGTTCAGACCAATCCTCTCATTTGCAGATGAAAAAACTAAAACCTAGAGACTAAATTAAATTATACCCCCAAAGTCAGACAGGAACAGATTGTAATCCAAGTCTCTTGATTACCAATTTGCTGTTCTTTCTAGCACACCATGCCGCCTCCATTAATACAACCTTGACTTTTAATGTTTTCCAAAAATCTTCGTTAGGAATAGTCTGCCTTACATCTTATTTAAATTATATATTTTAAATTATAGGCAGCAATACAAAGAACATGGGTTTTGGCTTAAATTCATAGCTTTAGTCCCTTTATGAGCAAGTTACTTACTTTTCTAAGCCTCCATTTCTCATTTATAAAATGGAGACATTATTACCTGTCTTGCTATAAGATTTAAATACTACATAAGCTCCCAGCATAATACATGGCACAAAGAAAGTAATCAGTAACTGTTCCTCTCTTTCCCTTCTCTTTAAGCCCATGTTCTGAAAAACTACAAAAAGGTGGATGCCTAAGTTGGCATGGAAATAAAAGGCACTATCACAACCAATTGCTTTATCAGTATTCCCTAAGAAGAAATATAAAGGAAATATAATATTTGAGGCTAATACAATGAGGTCCTATTCACAGAGAACTATTATACTATCTAAAGGTTAAATAGGGGGGGGGGCGTGCCCAAGATGGCCAAATAGGAACAGCTCCAGCCTCCAGCTCCCAGCATGAGCGACACAGAAGACGGGTGATTTCTGCATTTTCAACTGAGGTACCGGGTTCATCTCACTGGGGCGTGTCGGACAGTTGGCGCTGGTCCGCAGGTGCAGCCTGACCAGTGAGAGCTGAAGCAGGGAGAGGCATCGCCTCACCTGGGAAGTGCAAGGGGGAAGGGAATTCCTTTTCCTAGCCAAAGGATATTGAGACACACAACACCTGGAAAATCGAGTAACTCCCACCCTAATACTGAGCTTTACCAAGGGTCTTAGCAAACGGCACACCAGGATATTATATCCCACACCTGGCCCAGAGGGTCCCACGCCCATGGAGCCTCTCTCATTGCTAGCACAGCAGTCTGAGATCTAACTGCAAGGTGGCAGCGAGGCTGGGGGAGGGGTGCCCGCCATTGCTGAGGCTTAAGTAGGTAAGCAAAGCTGCCGGGAAGCTTGAATTGGGTGGAGCCCACCACAGCTCAAGGAGGCCAGCCTGCCTCTGTAGAATCCTCTTCTGGGGACAGGGCATAGCTAAACAAAAAGCAGCAGAAACCTCGGCAGAGGTAAATGGCCCTCACTGACAACTTTGAAGAGAGCAGTAGATCTCTTAGCACGGAGGTTGAGATCTGAGAGTGGACAGACTGCCTGCTCAAGTGGGTCCCTGACCCCTGAGTAGCCTAACTGGGAGACATCCCCCACTAGGTGCAGACCGACACCTCACACCTCACACGGCAGGGTACACCCCTGAGACAAAGCTTCCAGAGCAAGAATCAGACAGCAACACTCGCTGCTCAGCAAGATTCTATCTTCTGCAGCCTCCACTGCTGATACCCAGGCAAACAGGGTCTGGAGTGGACCTCAAGCAAACTCCAACAGACCTACAGCTGAGGGTCCTGACTGTTAGAAGGAAAACTAACAAACAGAAAAGACACCCACACCAAAATCCCATCAGTACATCACCATCATCAAAGACCAAAGGCAGATAAAACCACAAAGATGGGGAAAAAGCAGGGCAGAAAAGCTGGAAATTCAAAAAATCAGAGTGCATCTCCCCCTCCAAAGGAATGAAGCTCATCGCCAGCAACGGAACAAAGCTGGACGGAGAATGACTTTGATGAGTCGAGAGAAGAAGGCTTCAGTCGATCAAACTTCTCAGAGCTAAAGGAGGAATTACGTAACCAGCGCAAAGAAACTAAAAACCTTGAAAAATGAATGGATGAATGGATAACTAGAATAATCAATGCAAAGAAGACCTTAAAAGAACTGATAGAGATGAAAACCATAACACAAGAACTATGTGACAAATGCACAAGCTTCAGTAACTGACTCGATCAACTGGAAGAAAGAGTATCAGCGATTGAAGATCAAATGAATGAAATGAAGCAAGAAGAGAAGTGTAGAGAAAAAAGAGTACAAAGAAATGAACAAAGCCTCCAAGAAATATGGGATTATGTGAAAAGACTAAATCTACATCTGATTGGTGTGCCTGAAAGTGAGGGGGAAAATGGAACCAAGTTGGAAAACACTCTTCAGGATATCATCCAGGAGAATTTCCCCAATCTAGTGAGGCAGGCCAACATTCAAATTCAGGAAATACAGAGAACGCCACAAAGATACTCCTCAAGAAGAGCAACTCCAAGACACATAATTGTCAGATTCACCAAAGTTGAAATTAAGGAAAAAATGTTAAGGGCAGCCACAGAGAAAGGTCGGGTTACACACAAAGGAAAGCCCATCGGACTAATAGCAGATCTCTCGGCAGAAACTCTACAAGCCAGAAGAGAGTGGGGGCCAATATTCAACATTCTTAAAGAAAAGAATTTTCAAACCAGAATTTCATATCCAGCCAAACTAAGTTTCATAAGTGAATGAGAAATAAAATTCTTTACAGACAGGCAAATGCTTAGAGATTCTGTCACCACCAGGCCTGCCCTACAAGAGATCCTGAAGGAAGCACTAAACATGGAAAGGAACAACCAGTACCAGCCATTGCAAAAACATGTCAAAATGTAAAGTCCATCGATGCTAGGAAGAAACTGCATCAATTTGCGAGCAAAATAACCAGCTAAAATCATAATGACAGGACCAAATTCACACATAACAATATTAATCTTCAATGTAAATGGACTAAATGGTCCAATTAAAAGACACAGACTGGCAAATTGGATGAAGAGTCAAGACCCATCAGTTTGCTGTATTCAGGAGACCCATCTCACATGCAGAGACACACATAGGCTCAAAATAAAGGGATGGAGGAAGATCTACCAAGCAAATGGAAAACAAAAAAAAGCAGGGTTGCAATCCTAGTCTCTGATAAAACAGACTTTAAACCATCAAAGATCAAAAGAGACAAAGAAGGCCATTACATAATGGTAAAGGGATCAATTCAACAGGAAGAGCTAACTATCCTAAATATATATGCACCCAATACAGGAGCACCCAGATTCATAAAGCAAGTCCTTAGAGACTTACAAAGAGACTTAGACTCCTATACAATAATAATGGGAGACTTCAACACCCTCACTGTCAACATTAGACAGATCAATGGGACAGAAAGTTAACAAGGATATCCAGGAATTGAACTCAACTCTGCACCAAGCGGACCTAATAGACATCTACAGAACTCTCTACCCCAAATCAACAGAATATACATTCGTCTCAGCACCACATCACACTTATTCCAAAATTGACCACATAATTGGAAGTTAACCACTCCTCAGCAAATGTAAAAGAACAGAAATCATAACAAAATGTCTCTCAGACCACAGTGCAATCAAATTAGAACTCAGGACTAAGAAAATCAAACAAAACCGCTCAACTACATGGAAACTGAACAACCTTGCTCCTGAATGACTACTGGGTACAGAACGAAATGAAGGCAGAAATAAAGATGTTCTTTGAAACCAATGAGAACAAAGATACAACACACCAGAATCTCTGGGACACATGTTAAGCAGTGTGTAGAGGGAAATTTACAGCACTAAATGCCCACAAGAGAAAGCAGGAAAGATCTAAAATTGACACTCTAACATCACAATTAAAAGAACTAGAGAAGCAAGAGCAAACATATTCAAAAGCTAGCAGAAGGCAAGAAATAACTGAGATCAGAGCAGAACTGAAGGAGATAGAGACACAAAAAACCCTCCAAAAAAATCAATGAATCCAGGAGCTGGTTTTTTGAAAAGATCAACAAAATTGATAGACCGCTATCAAGACTAATAAAGAAAAGAGAGAAGAATCAAATAGATACAATAAAAAATGATAAAGGCGATATCACCGCTGACCCCACAGAAATACAAACTACCATCAGAGACTACTATAAACACCACTACGTGAATAAACTAGAAAACCTAGAAGAAATGGATAAATTCCTGGACACTTACACTCTCCCAAGACTAAACCAGGAAGAAGTTGAATCCCTGAATAGACCAACAGCAGGCTCTGAAATTGAGGCAATAATTAATAGCCTACCAACCAAAAAAAGTCCAAGACCAGACAGATTCACAGCCAAATTCTACCAGAGGTACAAGGAGGAGTTGGTACCACTCCTTCTGAACCTATTCCAATCAATAGAAAAAGAGGGAATCCTCCCTAACTCATTTTACAAGGCCAACATCATCCTGATACCAAAGGCTGACAGAGATACAACAAAAAAAGAGAATTTTAGACCAATATCCCTGATGAACATCGATGCAAAAATCCTCAATAAAATACTGGCAAACCGAATCCAGCAGTACATCAAAAAGCTTATCCACCATGATCAAGTGGGCTTCATCCCTGGGATGCAAGGCTGGTTCAACATTCGCAAATCAATAAACGTAATCCAGCATATAAACAGAACCAAAGACAAAAACAACATGATTATCTCAAGAGATGCAGAAAAACCCTTTGACAAAATTCAACAGCCCTTCATGCTAAAAATTCTCAATAAATTCGGTATTGATGCAACGTATCTCAAAATAATAAGAGCTATTTATGACAAACCCACAGCCAATATCATACTGAATGGGCAAAAACTGGAAGCATTCCCTTCAAAAACTGGCACAAGACAGGGATGCCCTCTCTCACAACTCCTATTCAAAATCGTGTTGGAAGTTCTGGCTGGGGCAATCAGGCAAGAGAAAGAAATCAAGGGTATTCAGTTAGGAAAAGAAGAAGTCAAATTGTCCCTGTTTGCAGATGACATGATTGTATATTTAGAAAACCCCATTGTCTCAGCCCAAAATCTCCTTAAGCTGACAAGCAACTTCAGCAAAGTCTCAGGATACAAAATCAATGTGCAAAAATCACAAGCATTCTTATACACCAGTAACAGACAAACAGAGAGCCAAATCATGAATGAACTCCCATTCACAATAGCTTCAAAGAGAATAAAATACCTAGAAATCCAACTTACAAGGGATGTAAAGGACCTCTTCAAGGAGAACTACAAACCACTGCTCAGTGAAATAAAAGAGGACACAAACAAATGGAAGAACATACCATGCTCATGGATAGGAAGAATCAATATTGTGAAAATGGCCATACTGCCCAAGGTAATTTATAGATTCAATACCATCCCCATTAAGCTACCAATGACTTTCTTCACAGAATTGGAAAAAACTGCTTTACAGTTCATATGGAACCAAAAAAGAGCCCGCATCTCCAAGACAATCCTAAGCCAAAAGAACAAAGCTGGAGGCATCATGCTACCTGACTTCAAACTATACTACAAGGATACAGTAACCAAAACAGCATGGTACTGGTACCAAAACAGAGATATAGACCAATGGAACAGAACAGAGCCCTCAGAAATAATACCACACATCTACAGCCATCTGATCTTTGATAAACCTGACAAAAACAAGAAATGGGGAAAGGATTCCCTATTTAATAAATGGTGCTGGGAAAATTGGCTAGCCATGAGTAGAAAGCTGAAACTGGATCCTTTCCTTACTCCTTATATGAAAATTAATTCAAGATGGATTACAGACTTAAATGTTAGACCTAAAACCATAAAAACCCTAGAAGAAAACCTAGGGAATACCATTCAGGACATAGGCATGGGCAAGGACTTCATGTCTAAAACACCAAGAGCAACGGCAACAAAAGCCAAAACTGACAAATGGGATCTAATTAAACTAAAGAGCTTCTGCACAGCAAAAGAAACTACCATCAGAGTGAACAGACAACCTACAGAATGGGAGAAAATTTTTGCAATCTACTTGTCTGACAAAGGACTAATATCCAGAACCTATAAAGAACTCAATCAAATTTACAAGAAAAAAACAAACAACCCCATCAAAAAGTGGGCAAACGATATGAACAGACAGTTCTCAAAAGAAGACATTTATACAGCCAACAGACACATGAAAAAATGCTCATCATCACTGGCCATCAGAGAAATGCAAATCAAAACCACAATGAGATACCATCTCACACCAGTTAGAATGGCGATCATTAAAAAGTCAGGAAACAACAGGTGCTGGAAAGGATGTGGAGAAATAGGAACACTTTTACACTGTTGGTGGGACTGTAAACTAGTTCAACCATTGTGGAAAACAGTGTGGCGATTCCACAAGGATCTGGAACTAGAAATACCATTTGACCCAGCCATCCCATTACTGGGGATATACCCAAAGGATTATAGGTCATGCTGCTATAAAGACACATGCACACGTATGTTTATTGCGGCACTATTCACAATAGCAAAGACTTGGAATCAACCCAAAGGTCCATCAGTGACAGACTGGATTAAGAAAATGTGGCACATATACACCATGGAATACTATGCAGCCATAAAAAAGGATGAGTTCATGTCCTTTGTAGGGACATGGATGCAGCTGGAAACCATCATTCTCAGCAAACTATCGCAAGAACAGAAAACCAAATACCGCATGTTCTCACTCATAGGTGGGAATTGAACAATGAGATCACTTGGACACAGGAAGGGGGTCATCACACACAGGGTCCTATTGTGGGGAGGGGGGAGGGAGAGCATTAGGAGATATACCTAATGTAAATGACGAGTTAATGGGTACAGCACACCAACATGGCACATGTATACATATGTAACAAACCTGCACATTGTGCACATGTACCCTAGAACTTAAAGTATAATAATAAAAAAAAGGTTAAACAGTATTTGCTCTCACATTAAGTATCTGAGAAAGAGAACTGCTATTCCAATAATCCCAGAATAGTAATATACGAGAAAGATGGAAAAGTACAACTCAAACTAGCCTGTAAAATAAAACAAATAATCTTATATTTATTAGAAATATTAAATCTATAATATTTAAACTATTTAATTTTTAAAAGTAGAACTTGCTAACAGAATTTACACTATAAAAATAAAAAACAGGTCTATTTGAATTGTGTAATATCCTAAAAAGAAACTGCTCTTTCCTTTGTCCTACCTGTCATGATCAATAAAGTGAGTTCTTTGATGGAGTGAAAGAGGTTTGATGTGGTATTGGCGGACCTGACAGGTTTTGGGTTGAATTCTTGGAGTCACATATGCTTGTAGTGTGCCATACTGGCCTTCAATTGAGCGAATCTGATTCAACAGAAAAAAGAAAACAAAATAAGAATATTTAGCAGCAAAACATATCTTTAAAACGTTCAACACAAGTTATCAAGTACTTAAAATTTACTAAGATGTGAAGACCTAATTTAAGAGGAGTTGGAAAGCTGTCTAGCTTCTTTCTCCTGTCCCACTCTGTTCCAATTCACGGGACAGATTGTAGTACCTCTTGTACTACACAAAGGTAACTTCTCTAATCTAATTAATACTTTAACTCATACTTTTCATGGCATGAGGGGGAAAACATCAAAATTTGACCTAAGTGGGAAACATTAAAAAGTTTAAGTAAGATGTTTTGCAAATGTTGCCCTGTGAATATTGCTGACAAGGAAGAGGATAAAAAAACATAATAAGTAAAACTATAGAAAGAAAACAAAAAATCGATCTGATAAACCTATATTTTGGTGTTAAGTTTTAAAGAGTAATAAGCTCATATTGGCAGAGATTTTTTTCCACAAGAAAAAGAGCTTTAATATAGAACATAATAATTTTATATGAAAAAGTATTTTGTAATAATCAGCATAACAATTAATATTCCTTATTTACAAATTCAAACAATAAAGAAAAATCTGGACAAACATGTAAGTCACCTGAAATCCTCCCACCCCAGATGATCATTATTACTACTTTGGTAGTTATGCTTTTATATGTCTCTCCACGTACAGGTACAAAAAAAGAGTATTTAGCACATAGCTGTTATTATAAAAATCTATTGACAGAAAAAATGTTTCAAATAACTTAATTATTGACATTCTGTGAAAATAGAGATGCATACCTATAATCTAATTATGGCATATTTGAACTGGAAATTCTTTTGGGCTATTTTGAATATAACTGGCTGGAAATCCTGAGAATTCAACATACTTAACAGGAAATAGTAATTCACTGAGCTGGGAAGATCTAATTTAAAAGAAGGGCCTAATTTAATATATCATTTCACATGACTAAGTCTATTGGATATCCTACACATCTTTGCTTTCATTTCTAATGTTCACATTTTCCCCCTTATCTCTGTCTCTCCTATCACCACCACCTTGCTGCTCCTCCCATCCCACTTATGCCTTCCCATATTATATAACTGGCTATATCAGACAGGTGTGTTTCTTTTCATACATTTATTCATACTTATATTAATATAAATAAAAATATATTCAAATTATATGGAGAGATTTTATCCGCATTTTGTGTGTTTTATGAAATTCCCTCCATGTTAATCTGTATAAATCAACTCATTCTTTATAGTAGCTGTGTAATATTCCAAGATATGGATAAATAGTTATTTATTCAACCATTCAATCATTAATGAGTATTCACCTTGGTTCTACTTTTCTGCTTCTACAAGCAATGCTGCAATTAATTATATTCATGTCTGTATGTATATTACTGTTATTTTATTGCTATTAACAGATTTCCCCAAAGGAGCTAATATCTGTTTTCCAAAGTGGTTGTAACAACTTATATTTCCACGAGCTGTGACTGACAGTGTCATTTTCTTCATCCCCGTCCCCAGTGATGTTGTTCTTTAACTATTAATTTTTTGCCATTCTGCTAGATAAAAGAAACTGCTTTTTGTTATTTTAATTTGAATTTCTCTGGCTAAAGATGAGGTAGAACGTTTTTGTTTGTTAGCTATTTTGATTCCCTCTTCTGTGTTTTGGGTTTTTTGCTTGTTTGTTTGTTTTTGAGATAGAGTCTCACACCATTGCCCAGGCTGGAGTACAGTGGCACAATCTCAGCTCACTGCAACCTCCATCTCCTGGGTTCAAGCGATTCTCATGCCTCGGCCTCCCAAGTAGCTGGGATTACAGGTGCGTAATCCCAGCTAACTTTTTTGTTTTTGTTTTTTTTGTAGTAGAGACAGGGTTTCACCATGTTGGCCAGGCTGTTCTTGAACTCCTGACCTCAAGTGATCTGCCCGCCTTGGCCTCCCAAAGTGCTGAGATTACAGGTGTGAGCCACTGTGCCCAATCTTCTCTTCTGTGACTTGCCTGTCCATATCCTTTGCCTATTTTCCTTACTTGGTGGTTTTTATTGTAACAATAGGCTGTTTATACGTTATCGACAATTACTGTTAGACAATTAAGTCTTCTTTCTTTAAATAAGTAGGTACTTAATTCATCTGAATTTATTTTTTATATATGGCATAAGATAACAATTCATTTGATTTTCTTCTAGATGGATGCTAGTTGTGTCAACAGTAATTTTTAAACAGAAATAGTGATTTAATAGAAGTGTTCCCTTCTATTAAAATAGAAATGTCATGCACTAAATTCCCATAAATGTGAAATATATTCTGGGTTCTATTTCTAGATTATTCTGTTGTATGGCCTATATATTTAGGCTTGGAAATATCCTCCATTATTTTTATTATGGTATGTTTTATCATATGGCAAAGCAAGTTACACCTTACTTTTCTTCTTTTTCATAATTTTCTTGGCTCTTTTCAGGCATTTTGTCTTTCTTCTACACTTTAAAATTATTATGTCCAACTAAAAAAAGGGGAACATGGCTGGGTGTGGTGGCTCACACCTGTAATCCCAGCACTTCGGGAGGCCGAGGTGGGTGGATCAACTGAGGTCAGGAGTTCGAGACCAACCTGTCCAACATGGTGAAACCCTGTCTCTACTAAAATACAAAAATTAGCCAGGCATGGTGGTGCACGCCTATAATCCCTGCTACTAGGGATGCTGAGGCATGAAAATCGCTTGTACCAGGGAGGTGGAGGTTGCATCGAGCCAAGATTGTGCCACTGCACTCCAGCCTGGGTGACAGAGCAAGACTCCATCTCAAAAACAAAACAAAACAAAACAACAACAAGAAAAGTGAAACATTGCTTTTAATCAATTTTTACTCAACTTTCAAATTTGTCAGCAGAAACTTGCTCAATGTAAAATGTTTAATTAGGTCACTTACTGATACTTTTTTTTTTTTTTTTAGAAATAAATTTATCCTAGTTTTCCATTTTTCTTTCAAAGTACATAAAAAGGAATGTATGCAGACCAAAATGAATTGTTCAGGGGAAACATCATATTTAACTGGAACTTCCTTAACCAGATGTGAAAAAAATATTGTGTAACAGCATCTCTCTTGAAAAATAAAAAAACCTTTGAGTTTCAAAACATCAGCAACACCAGGAAAAAAGTTACAGTCCTTAATTTTTAGATCATACGTCTATCAAAATTAATCCCACTATAAATAACTAAAACAGATTTGTGTGCTATGGTAAGTATTTAATTATAAAAATGATTATGTCAAACTTTAAAAGGTTTTCTCTAGAATGTATGATAATAAATCATATCACTGGAATGCAATCAGCAAAATTCAGGTGGTAGGAAAATATATGACAAATGCTCAGATACTTTAATAACTAAGTTAATTTAGAAGATGACTGTGAGGACCAGCCTGGCCAACATGGTAAAACCCCGTCCCTACGAAACAAAAAAAAAAAAGTACAAAAATTAGCCAGGTGTGATGGAAGGCACCTGTAATCCCAGCTACTCAGGAGGCTGAGGCAAGAGAATTGCTTGAACCTGGGAAGCGGAGGATGCAGTGAACCCAGATCATGGCACTGCATTCCAGCCTGGGTGACGAGAGCACAAGAGTGAGACTCCATCTCAAGAAAAAAAAAAAAAGGATGACTGGATTAAACAAGCTGTAAAACAAAAATCAGTAAAATCTGAACATTAAATATTTTATAATATTAAAAAATTGTTGATTTTTCTTAGGTGTGATAATAGTGTAGTTATGTTTAAAAAAAGAGAGAGTACCTATCTTTTAGACACACTAAATGAAATTATGAGTATCTTGTATTTGCTTGAAAATATTTTAGGGTAGTAATGATAGCATAAACAAGGTGGCCATGAGTTGATCACTGCCGAAGCTGTGTGATTAATACATGGGGATTCATTACTTTTATAAATATTTGAAACTTTCTATAATAAAACATTTGAAAGAAAATTTTCAGTTAGAGGAAACTTTAAGACCAATAATTTTAGGCTGGGCATGGTGGCTCATCCCTGTAATCCCATCACTTTGGGAGGCTGAGGCATGTGAACTGCTTGAGCTCAAGAGTTTGAGACCAACCTGGGCAACATGGCAAAACCCAATTTCTATTTAAAAAATAAAAATCAATAATTTTAGAGAAGGTGATTAAGAAATAATAGCAGAGATTGTGGTCTGGGCTAAATTATATCCTAACTGGTCATTCAAAATTCATTACTCCAAAACAATTCATTTCAGGGAGAAATTAAATGCAAACAAATAATATCATATGTTATAAGACATACCAGCAGGAAAAAGGAAATTTAAACATTCAAGTAAAGGTAATTTCTAATATTTTTACCTTGAGTTCCAGCCTTGTAGTATTTGCCTGGCACCGATAAGTGGCGAGAAGGAAGTTGTCATTTGACTGGGAAGAATACAAAGTGGAGGAAAAGAATGAATCCATGTTTTTAGCAACAAAAAAAAGGCATCAATAATAATAATGGTTACCATTTACTTAAGTATCTGTCACTGGTGCTAAGTGCTTTTGAAACATGTTCTAACTTATACTTACAAAAACCCTATGCACTAGGTTTTACTAATTAAGCTTTAACAGATGAAGAAACTGAGGTTATGAGGAGTTAAATAACTTCCCCACAGCCATTAAGTGATGAAACTGGAATTCAAATTCCTATCTAAAGCTCATGCTCTTTCCATCTTGAGTTTTTACGATAACATTTTTAAACATTAAGAATTCTTCTAAAAATCTGACAATGCAAACACCAAATGTGATATGGTTTGGCTGTGTCCCCACCCAAATCTCATTTTGAACTGTACTCCCGTAATTCCTATGTGTTATGGGAGGGACCCAGTGGGAGATAATTGAATCATGGGGCCAGTTTCTCCCATACTGCTCTCATGGCAATGAATAAGAGCTGATGGTTTTATAAGGGGAAATCCCTTTCTCTTGCCTCTCATTCTCTTTTCTCTTGTCTGCCACCATGTGAGATATGCCTTTCACATTCCTCCATGATTGTGAGGTCTCCTCAGCCAGGTGGAATTGAGAGTCCAATAAACCTCTTTGTTTTGTAAATTGTCCAGTTCCTGGTATGTCTTTATCAGCAGTGTAAAACTTGACTAGCACAGTAAATTGGTACTGGTAGAGTGTGGTGCTGCTATAGAGATACCCAAAAATGTGGAAGTGACATTGGAACTGGGTAACAGGCAGGGGCTGGAACAGTTTGGAGCACTCAGAAAGACAGGAAAATGTGGGAAAGTGTGAAACTTCCTAGAGACTTATTGAATGGCTGTGTCCAAAATGCTGATAGTGATGTGGACAATGAAATCCAGGCTGAGGTGATCTCAGATGGAGATGAGGAACTTGTTGGGAAATGGAGCAAAGGTGACTCTTACTATGTTTTAGCAAAGAGGCTGGCAGCATTATGCCCCTGTCCTATAGATGTGTGGAACTTTGAAGGGAGACAATTTAGGGTATCTGGCAGAAGAAATTTCTAAGCAGCAAAGCATTCAAGAAGTGACTTGGGTGCTGTTGAAAGCATTGTTTTATAAGGGAAGGAGATTATAAAAGTTCAGAAAATTTGTAGCTTAACAATGCAATAGAAAAGAAAATCCCATTTTCTGAGAAATTCAAGTTGGCTGTCGAAATTTGCATAAGTAATGACGAGCCGAACATTAATCATCAAGACAATGGGGAAAATGTATCCAGAGCATGTCAGAGGTCTTCATGGCAGCCCCTCCCACCACAGGCCTGGAGGCCTAGGAGGAAAAAGTGGTTTTGTGGGCTAGGCCCAGGATCTCCATGCTGTGTGCAGCCTAGCAACTTGGTGCTCTGTGTCCCAGTCACTATAGCCGTGGCTGAAAGGGGTCAATGCAGAGCCTGGCCTGTGGCTTCAGAAGCCTTGAGCCTTGGCAGCTTCCCTGTGTTGTTGAGCCTGTCAGTGCACAATAGTCAAGAATTGGGGTTTGGGAACCTCCGCCTAGATATCAGCAGATGTATGGAAACACCTGAATGTTCAAGCGGAAATTTGCTGCAGGGGCGGGGCTCTCACGGAGGACCTGTCCAGGGCAGTGTGGAAGGAAAATGTGGGGTTGGAGCCCCAACATAGAGTTTCTACTGGGGCACTGCCTAATGGAGCTGTGAGAAGAGGGCCATTGTCTTCCAGACCCCAGAATGGTAGATCCACCAACAGCTTGCACTGTGAGCCTGGAAAAGTCACAGACATTTAATGCCAGACTATGAAAGAACCCAGGAGTGGGGAGTACCGTGCAAAGTCACAGGGGTGGAGCTGCCCAGGGCCATAGGAGCCCACCTCTTGCATCAATGTGACCCAGATGTGAGACATGAAGTCAAAGGATCATTTTGGAGGTTTAAGATTTTGGACTTGCATGGGGCCTGTAGCCCCTTTATTTTGGCCAATTTCTCCCATTAGGAATGGTTGTATTTACCCAATGCCTGTACCCCCACTGTATCTAGGAAGTAACTAACTTGCTTTTGATTTTACAGGCTCATAGGCAGAAGGGACTTGCCTTGTCCCAGATGAGACTTTGGACTGTGGACTTCTGAGTTAATGCAAAAATGAGTTAAGACTTGGGGGACTTTTGGGAAGGCACGATTGGTTTTGAAATGTGAGGACATGAAATTTGGGAGGTGCAGGGGTGGAATGATATGGTTTGGCTGTGACCCCACCCAAATCTCATCTTGAATTGTACTTCTGTAATTCCCATGTGCTGTGGGAGGGACCCAGTGGGAGAAAACTGAATCATGAGGGTGGTTTCTGCATACTGTTTTTCATGGTAGTGAATAAGTCTCATGAGGTCTGATGTTTTTATAAACCCCATTCTCTTGGCTCTCATTCTCTCTTGTCTGCCACCATGTGAGATGTGCCTTTCACCTTCTGCCATTATTGTGAGGCCTCCCCAGCCAGGTGGAACTGTGAGTCCAATAAACCTCTTTCTTTTGTAAATTGTCCCATCTTGGATATGTCTTTATCAGCAGTGTGAAAATGAACTAATACAAAATGTTTATACTATAAAGGCACATACATCAGAGTTTGATATTGAATCTCTTGGATTTTTCACAAATACTTACGGAGGAAAGAAAATATCTCTTCTCTCTATTCCCAGCAAATGGCACAGTGCCTGGCACACTGTAAGCACTTAATACATGTTTGCTGAACTAACCTAGAGGAGTTCCTTCAAATATTATAACTTCTTGAAATTGAATATTAAACTACTAGAAATAGAGAAATGTAGCTAGGTTCATGGATTACAAAAACAGACATAGCAATGTAAGATAATTTATATGTTATTTTCGAGACTATTTCTCTATTTTTATTAAATAATCAAAGAAATGAAAAGGATGGTAATATAAAATATAAAACTCAAACATTACAATTTCAAATCATTTAAACTCAACAGAGAGGACCGATCAATTTAAAAGTAAATATATTCTTTTTTTTTTTTTTTTTTTTGAGACAGAGTCTTGCTGTGTTGCCCAGGCTAGAGTGCAGTGGTGTGATCTCAGCTCAATGCAACCTCTGCCTCCTGAGTTCAATTGACTCTCATACTTCAGCCTCCTGAATAGCTGGGAGTACAGGCGCGTGCCCCCACATCCAGCTACTTGTTTTGTATTTTTAGTAAACAGGGTGTTTTACCATGTTGGCCAGGCTGATCTTGAACTCCTGGCCTCAGGTGATCCACCTGCCTTGGGCTCCCAAAGTGCTGGGATTACACATACGAGCCACGGAGCCAAGCCGTAAATATATTCTTGTATGATTAAAAACAAACGTTATATACTACAGTGTTTATTGATAAATGATACAGATAACATGTTTGGGATGAGGTTTGGGAGTGGGGAAGGAGAGGGTGAAGAGCATGAGAAAATAAGACTGGGCTGGGCATGGTGGCTCACACCTGTAATCCCAGCACTTTGGGAGGCTGGGAGGTGGAAGGACAGCTTGAAGTTAGGAGTTCAAGACCAGCCTGGGCAACAAAGTGAGGCCCCATCTCTACAAAATGTAAAAAAATAAAAAAAAATTAGCCGGGGATCATGGCATATGCCTATGGTCCTATGTACTCAGGAGAATGAGACAAGAAGGTAAATTTGAGCCTAGAAGTTTGAGGCTGCAATGAGCTATGATCACACCACTGCACTTCAGCCTAGGTGACACAGTAAGACCTCCATCTCTGAAAAAAAAAAAAAAAAGACTAACCATATGTTGAAAATTAGTGATGGGTACATGCAAGTTATTATACTAGTCTTTCTACTTTTGTGTACACCTGAAATCTCCATAAGTTTTTTTAAAGCCACTGTCCTAGAAAACATTTTAAATTAGTATGAAATAGTCATTTCAAAAAATCCTTCAGTGATGTAATTAAAACAGATTAATCTTTCATAGTAACTTAAGAATCAAAGATCTTTTAAGTTTATGTTAACTTGATTTTCTAAATAATCATAAAAATGTAGGCCATATCTTTTGTGTTTTGTTCTCAAACAGGGATGACAAACCATATATTGATAATGTAATACAACTGTTATAAAATCTCTTATTAAAAATAAAATTTTTACTATGAAGTTACATTGAAAAATAGGCTGGGCATGGTGGCTCACACCTGTAATCCCAGCACTTTGGGAGGCCAAGGTGGGTGGATCACCTGAGGTCAGGAGTTCAAGACCAGCCTGACCAGCATGGCAAAACCCCATCTCTACTAAAAATACAAAAATTAGCCGGGTGTGGTGGCGTGTGTGTGTAGTCCCGGCTACTTGGGAGTCTTGAGACAGGAGAACTGCTTGAACCTGGGAGGCGGAGGTTGTAGTGAGCTGAGATTGTGCCGCTGCACTCCAGCCTGGGTGATGGAGTAAGACTCCGTCAAAAAAAAAAAAAAAAAAAAGACAGAAAGAAACAAAAAGAAAGAAAGAAAGAAAGAAAAAGAAAGAAAGAATGAAAAAGAAAAAGAAAGAAAGAAAAGTATTCTTATATCTATCAATATTTTACTTTATCTACTCTTTTATTCCTCCTTTTTAAAAAATATATAAGGCCAGACATGGTGGCTCATGCCTATAATCCCAGCACTTTGGCAGGCTGTGGTGGGAGGATCACTTAGGCCCAGGAGTTTGAGACCAGCCTGGGCAACATAGGAAGACCCTGTCTCTACAAAAAATTTCAAAATCAGCCAGGCATGGTGGCTTGTGCCTGTAGTCCCAGCTACTTGGAAGGCTGAGGTGGAAGGATCTGCTCGAGCCCAGGAGGTCGAGGCTGCAGTGAGCCATGATCACGCCACTGCACTCCAGCCTGCGCAACAGAGTGAGACCATGTCTTAAAAAAAGTAAATAAGTAACAAAAACCAAATAAGTAAAATATATTCTGCAGCAGTGCCAATGCATAAAAATAAAAATAAAATACATATTAATACAACTACCCACCAACTCCAGTTACCATCTCCTCCTGCTCTGGCTTGCCTTCTCCAATGCAATTAATCCAAACCTTATCTATACCTTGACTTCTCTTCAGGAGTCACACGTAGCTCTGAGACTGCTTATCGGCTAGTACTAAGCAGAAAGAAGAGATACAGAAAGCATGTCCAAAAGCACTGACGTGATCTCATCTCAGGTACTGTGCACATGTTAAGTGCTCAATAAAAGTCTGTTGAATGAAGTTTATTACGCATTCAACAAGCCTAGAAAAAGTGGGGCAGGGCAGGAAGAGCGGGGGAAGCAACAGATCATGTTCCAATGCAGGGATGTGTGAAACTATATAGCATTTTCAGGAATTTTAAGAACTTCAGTTTGGCAGAAATAATGTGCATGGGAGGGGTGGTAGCAGCCAGTGAGAGAGAAGTTAGAGATGTAATCAAGAGCTGAATCATGGAAAGTTTTCTATGCCACAATAAGGAATCTATATTTATATCTAGCAGGAAATCAGGAATATTTAAAAGGTTTTGAGAAAAGAAAGATACAGTGATGTTTGTGTTTTAGGAAGGAAGACTTTCTGGTGGTAGTGTACATACAGCATATCCCAGAAGTCAGAGGCAAGACTAGAGGCAGAGAAATGTATAAAGTAGTTCAAGGAAGACATGATACAGGCCTGGACTAAGTTAACAGGGGTAGGAATGAAGCCAAGTAGAAGTATGAAAGCCATGGAGGTAGAACTGACAGAAACTGACTAATTGGGTCTATAGGCTGAACATTCCCAAACTGAGTATCTAAAATGCTCCAAAACCCTAAACTTTTTGAGTGCCAAGATAATACTTTAAGGAAACGCTCACTGGAGCATTTCAGAATTTCAGATTTTCAAATTTGGGGTGCTGAACCAGTAAGTATAAAACAAATATTCCAAAACCTAAAAAATCCAAAATCCAAAATACTTCTTGGTCCCAAGCATTTCACATAAGAGATATCAACCTGTAACAGATCACAGAAAGGAAGGAATCTAGGACAACACTAGGTTTCTCGACTGAGGACAGGGAAAGAGAACCGACACAGATTTTGAAGGAGAGGTTACATAAGAAATGACTGAAAAAGAAACATCAAAACCTAACAGCATTTATAGACTTTAATCAAAATGGTATAATAGAAATGAAAGCATGTGAAGAATTCTTTTATATTTTTTACTCACCTCAGAATCACAGCTGCTAAAGCTAACAACAGCAGAATTTTTATCCACATCAAGTAAATCTATTGGAACATCACTCTACAGTCAATATTAAAAAAAAGAAGGTTTAGATGGAAAACCTAAAAATGTTCATAAATTATGTTTTCTCTAAGAGTTCTCCTTAGTTCTAGTTTATATTCATCTTTAAATCTGAGAGTATGAATTCTCTTAATTTATACTTGATAGTATATACTTCTAGAAAATAAATATAATAAAGAATAAATGTTATTTTACAATCACCTGTTTTGTTCTAACTTGGAATATAAAAATCACAGAATATAATCTCTTACCACCCCCTTAGAAGTCCAATTGTCCCACTTATTTTTGTAAAGTACTAAAAATGTTACTATGAGCTATAAATAATCACATGGCCATTCTGATTCATTTTTAGCAGTTTCAATTTCACCTGTAACACAGAAAGAAGATAATTTTTGGTCTCCTCTGGAGAGGCAGTTTCTAGGACAAAGCTGTTGCACTGTGTTCTACGTGAATGGCATTCCCAGAGTTGCTCAATGCAACAACCCGTGAGCTAGCATTACTTAAGAGAGTTTTCTGCCTTTAGGTTTTTTAAAATAATCTGATATCTTCATTACGTCTTTTTAAACCTTCTCTTCCTCCAATTTATTATGTTCTCATTTTGTGATTGGTTTACTATCTGTTGCTTGTTTTCTATTCATCCTATTATTCTTTTCTACTTCCTGAATACCTTCTAATTTAAATAAGTCAGCAAATGTATACATTGATGAATGGAGTCATACATTATTACCCCTAAATTTCACCCTTTAGGATTTTCTACTTTGCCTGTTGACCTGCCAGAAACTATTGGGTTAATGAGCAAGCTGTACTTTAACGTTTGGGGCTTAAAAAGAAGAAGTTCTAGCAAGGGCGTTAAATATGGTAGTTTTCTAAGTCACATCTTTGTTAAGATTCTCCCAGAGGGTAGCCAAAGAAGAAAAACCTTACTGTCTTTTCTATTTTTTCTTAAAATGTAAGCCCATCTTTGGTTTATTAAGTACATAAATAAAAAGTAAAAATATAATTCAAATAATCTATGAGCAAACAATAGATTAAAAGGCCATAAACATTTAAAATTACTGTCTATGGCTGGGTGGCGTGGTTCACGCTTGCAATCCCAGCACTTTGTGAGGCCGAGGCAGGTGGATCACCTGAGGTCAGGAGTCCAAGACCAGCCTGGCGAACATGGTGAAACCCTGTCTCTACTAAAAATACAAAATTAGCCAGGCGTGGTGGCACATACCTGCAGTCCCAGCTACTTGGGAGGCTGAGAGGCAGGAGAATCACTTGAACCTGGGAGGCGGAGGTTACAGTGAGCTGAGATTGCACCACTGCACTCCAGTCTAGGCGACAGAGTAAGACTCTGTCTCAAAAAAATAAAAATAAAAAAATAAAAAATTACTGTCTAAAACTAAAAATGTTCAATAATAATTAGTACATATGACTGGTTTGTAAAATAGATCCAGTCATAAAACTAAGAAATTAGACATTTTGCTTACCTGTATTAAGACATTATCTATTGCAGTCTGTACCTCTAAGATAAGGCTATAACTGGCATCATCTTTATTTAGTGTAAATTTATCATTTATACCAAAGGAAGGTACTGCTGATTTTGCTTTGCTTGATTGAGAAGACTGCTGATAATTCTCTCTTTCCTGCAATACCTTATACTGCAGATGTTCCAACTCATTCCTGGAGAAAAACATACACAAATTTGTCAAATGTAAGTATAAACATTTGAGGTCCTTAGAATGTTTACAAAAATTTGAGACATTTGCTTTTACAAAATGTGTTTTTATTAGTTGAGCTAATAAAATAAAAATAAAGGGAACAAAATTTTTGCTTCTATGACTGACTAAATGATTCCACATTATTTATCCTTAACCCAAAAATTAAAACACGTACTCAGTCCCATACTAGCAATATTAATAGAGAGTTTTAAATATCATGGTAGGCTACAAAATAATCAATCTTAACACAGGAATCTTAGTACAGTTACATAAAATACTAATCAGAAGAGAAACTTATCATACTAAAGAGAAATTAATATTGCAGAACATACTAGACTTAATGAAAAGAGACAAAAATGTGTGAAGCTAGTAAACATGTAACTTTCAGTAAGACACTAGGGAAGACATAAAAAAATAAAAAGGAAGCTGCAGAATATTAGCATTTTGGGGACCACAAGGATGATCATGAGCCAGTGGTACAGCTTAACTACCAAGTGTTGGAGAGGATTCTGCTGAGACTGAACTACACAGGCATTGCTTAGAGCTCCAGTTAAGGGGAAGGTCCACATGCAAATGGAGTGAACAGTCATTGGGATAGAACAACATGAGGCTTAACTAGCCACAATTTAGGAGGAAAAGTCTAGGGAGGAGCTTGGAAGGGATTTGTGTGATGAACAAAGGAAAAGATTCATTCATTAAAGAATATTTACTGCTAAATATTACATATTTACTCCTATGTACCTAGCAGTGTTTGGGTATCAAATGAACAAATCAGACATGAGCTTCTCGTAAAGCTTACATTCCAGGGTGGAATCAAGAAATGGTAGACTTGGTTATAAATAAAAGGTACTATATTGAGGATGTGAGAGAGTAGTCATTAACTATACTTGTATCCTTGTTGCATGAAGTAGGATATCCTGAATGAATCTGGCATACTTGTTTGCATGAACATTACAGCTTGCTCTCTGGTGGCTTTGGTGAAATGGCTTGTGCTACTAGTACTTGTGGCATTTGCTGCCTTAAAAGTTTCTGTAGCCTTCAACTACCACCAAAAAAAGATCATCCTTCACTCCACAAAAGGTCAGCATGGGTTGAAATGGGGAGAGCAGTCATTAAAAGTTTTAGCAACTCCTACTTCTTTATTGTATGAAGCATCTTTATTTGAGTTTGAGGTCCCCCTTTTCATAGCACACGTCAAATTGAGCATACCATAAAAGCAATTCTTGTGTCTAGGGGAGTCAACATTACTCAGTTCCAGTTAAGAAAATTTATAAGCCAACATTACAGATTCAGAAGGGTCCACAGGAAGAGTAAATGTTAGAGTTAATGAGAAATAATACAGCCATCTGTGTTGATTTATTTCTAATGTCTGTGAAAATAAAAAAATAAAACACTACAAGTGTCTATTACGTAAAAAAAAAAAAAAAAAAAATGAAAAATACAACTCTTGACCTAAGAAAAAGTCAATTCAGAATAAGGCATACAAAAAAGTATATTTCTATCTCCAAAATATTAATCAGCACTTACTGCTAATTTTCTCAAAACTGTAAACTTTCATTTTAAAAGGTGATTAATTATATAATTCCTTCCAATAAAATATACTCCATCTATAAGTAATAAAAAGCAATAATCACACACTTCATGAGATTTTTAAAAAAGCAAATAAAAAACTCAAAGTTACCGTAAGGAAGAAATTTTATTCTGCATCTCCTGATTAAATTTTAGTTCTTCTCCTGGTCCACTTTCCTTATGAATGGGCTCTGTTGTCAGACCTGTAACCCAGCCTGTAGAGATGAATTACAGTCACGCACCACTTAGTACTGCTGGTGTTAAAAAAGATAAATTATGCATTGTGTAGCAGAAACTCCAATGTACATGCCCCTTTGTCCACTAATATCAGCCTATCTTAACCCTAGGACTTCATTCAAAAACAAAACACAAAATCAAGCTGGAAAATATTCAGACTATATAGAAATTACTTAAGCATTTCACGATATCATTTTTTTTTTTTTTGCCTGAAATACCATAATACTATAATGAAGGGAATCTTTTACTTCTTAACAGATTTAAAATATGGAGTAAGTCAACATAGTCTAGCAATTTCAAAAATAGCTGAAAAATAAGAATTGCCTTTTAAAAATTACTTTCATGGAAATTTAAACTCTCACGTGACTACTATGAGGATGCAAAAATTACCAATTCAAAAGAAGTTTTGGCAAGTTTTTGAGACCCTGTCTCAAAATAAAAGTTTTTTTATCAGGCACATACATAGTCCAAAACATAAAATAAATCTCAATAAGTACTTCTCTTTAAATCAAATAAGATAATTTAATAAAGGTAAGAGTGACATGCTAAACACTCTTAAAAAGTATTATTCAAATATCAACTATTTTATAAATCAAGAAGCCTATACTTTCTCCTTATTTTTTAACCAAGAAAGTTTTTAATGCTATAAGTAAGAGTGATTGATTAACACAGCAGCCTCCCCTTATCCACGATTCCACTTTCTGCATTTAAGTAACCCATAGTCAATGGTAGGCTGAACATATTAAATGGAAAATTCCAGAAATAAGTCCTAAGTTTTAAATTGTACAACATTCTGAATAGGGTGATAAAATCTCATGCCATCCTGCTCCATTCTGCTCAGGATGTAAATCATCCCTTTGTCCAACATATCACCTGCTGTATATGATACCTGCTACCAGCCTATCTATTGTTCCCTTAGAAGCCAAACCAGTTATCAGATCAACTGTTGCCGTATCATAGTGCGTGGGTTCAAGTAACCTTACTTTATTTAATAAGGGCCCCAAAGCGCAAGAGTAGTGATGTTAAGCATATTGTTATAATTGCTCTATTTTATTATTCATTATTGTTAATCTTGTACTATGCCTAATTTGTAAGTTAAACTTTATCACAGGCATGTAGGTATAGGAAAAAAATATACACAGGGTTCAGCACTATCTGAGGTTTGGGGCTTCCACTAGGGGTCTTGGAACAGATTCCCTATGAATAAGGGGGGACTACTATAACTCTTTTTTAAAAAGAGACATCAAAAGCAGTTTATTAAGTTTAGATTTTTTTGTTGCTGACTCTTTCTTCAATTACTTATTATCATTTACTTTACCTGAATATGTGGACACCACGATTTCATCATAGCTGTCTTTTCCTACACAACCACCCTGGATAGATGTGACACTTTCAGACAACATCTAAGGAAGTTTAAGACCAAGCACTTCATTAGTAACTAAAAAATTCAGACATGTTAAAAATAAGCTACACAACGTTTTCCCTGGCTCCAGACATTCAACATATATTTACTGAATGCTTATGTGCAGACACTCAGATTAGAAAGACAAAATATCTTGAACAAATGGCAGGAAACTTCCGTGTTTTTAAATTTGGGAAAGAAGATTCAAAACGATCCTAGTATATTTGTGGGTACCACTCAACTAACGATATACTCATCTAATGAGTTAAAATAGTTTATTTATTTATTTAGAGGCAATGTCTCCCTCCGTCACCCAGGCTGGAGTGCAGTGGTGCAATCACAGCTCACTGCAGCCTTGACTTCCTGGGCTCAAACGATCCTCCTGCCTTAGGCCCCAGAGTAGCTGGGACTAGAGGTGCGTGCCACAACGCTGGGCTAATTTTTCTATTTTTTGTAGAGATGGGGCTTCGCCATGTTTCCCAGGCTGGTCTTCAAATCGTGGGCTCAAGCAATCTGCCACCTTGGCCTCCCAAACTGCTAGGATTATAGGCGTGAACCATAGCTCCCGGCCAGTTTATTTTCATAAAGAAAGGTTTTTTTAAAACTTACGTAAGCAAGGCTGGGCGCGATGGCTGACGCCTGTAATCCCAGCACTTTGGGAGGCCGAAGTGGGCGGATCACGAGGTCAAGAGACCGAGACCATCCCGTCCAACATGGTGAAACCCCATCTCTACTAAAAATACAAAAAAATTAGGTGGGCGTGGTGGTGCGTGCCTGTAGTCCCAGCTACTTGGGAGGCTGAGGCAGGAGAATCGCTTCAACCCCGAAGGCAGAGGTTGCAGTGAGCCGAAATCATGCCACTGCACTCCAGTCCAAGTTTTTTCATATGACTCGGTGTTTATAATAACCATCTTTTAAGCAATACTTCCCAAACTTATTTGACAACCACTTAAGTAACTCAACTAGGAATCTGTATATATTTTTTTTTTAATTTCTTTCTTTCTTTTAAAATAATGCAGGGAGCTGGTTTTTTGTTTTTGTTTTTGTTTGTTTTTTTAGACAGGCCATTGATCTGTTGCCCAGGCTGGAATGCAGTGCATGATCACGGCTCACTGCAGCCTCAACCTCCCAGGTTCAAGTGACCCTCCCAATTTGGCCTTCCAAGTAGCTGGGACAACAGGTGTACACCACCATACCTAGCTGATTTTTAAATTTTTTTTTTTTGCAGAAATGGGGTCTCCCTATGTTGCCCAGGCTAGTGTTGAACTTCTGGGCTCAAGCAAACCTCCCACCTTGGCCTCCCAAAGTGCTGGGATTACAGGTGTAAGCCACTGTGCCTGGCCAGAAACTGTTTTTAACAAACACTCTAGGTCGGTGGCTTTCAAGCTATTTGGAAAGCAAGCAATAAATTTTATATTACAATCTGGTATACATTCACACATAAACATATAAAGCAATGTATCTAACTTAAAAGATTTGTGTCATACACTGATATGTTCTAATCTATTCTGTTTTTTAAAAACTGCACTGGCAACACACTAATTGGTTTTGACTAGCAGTTTGAAAAACTCTGGTATGTAATTCTTAGCAGGCAAGACTGAGAACCTTTGTTTTAAAGGAGGGAGTGGAAGGAAGGGACACTAGCATTAAACCAGACAATCAACAATGACAAACAATGACAAACCAGACAAAACAACAATGTTTTGTTTGTAGGTGAAGGTAGTTCTCTTCACCTACCCTATAGGGGGCAAACCTCTGAGCTATCCTGCAAATTAGGATGTGATAGTTGTTCCTGAGGCTAATTACCTGAGAAATTCAAGTAACAAAGGTTTGATTATAAATCACATAAAGTTAGATTTACAGGTGGGGTCAAATATCTGCATTTTTAACAAGTGTCCAGTTGATGTGTATAATAAAAGTTTTCAAAAAATTGTTTTTTATTGATCTGACAACTTGATTAGATCTTCCTTTAATTTACTGAACACAAAACACTGGAAATCACCTGACTTGCAGAATAATGTTTTACTCAACCAACAGAAACACGCACATTCTCACTTTCTGAGTGGTTTATCAGGGAACTATTAATTACAACTTTAAAGAGTATTTTAGGCCGGGCGCGGTGGCTCAAGCCTGTAATCCCAGCACTTTGGGAGGCCAAGACGGGCGGATCACGAGGTCAGGAGATCGAGACCATCCTGGCTAACACGGTGAAACCCCATCTCTACTAAAAAATACAAAAAACTAGCCGGGCGAAGTGGCGGGCGCCTGTGGTCCCAGCTACTCGGGAGGCTGAGGCAGGAGAATGGCGTAAACCCGGGGGGCGGAGCTTGCAGTGAGCTGAGATCCGGCCACTGCACTCCAGCCTGGGCGACAGAGCCAGACTCAGTCTCAAAAAAAAAAAAAAAAAAAAAAAGAGTATTTTAATGCAATATACTTGGAAAACATTTTTAAAACTATTCATTTCCTTTTTTAACTGTTCATTTCTATATACTTTTTTGCTAATAGAACATTTTAATGAAATTCATTTATCTTATGTACTTACATAAAAAAATTGGGGCTACTCTGCACACTGCCTATGGGGTAGCCTTGTTCTGCAAGGAGCAGGAAAAGAAAAACAAAGGAAAAAGGAAGGAAGGAGGGAAGGAAGGGAGGGAGGGAGGGAAGGAGGAAAGAAAGGGAAGAATGGGAGGAAGGCAGGGAGGGAGGGAGGGAGGGAGGGAGGGAGGAAGGAAGGAAGGAAGGAAGGAAGGAAGGAAGGAAGGAAGGAAGGAAGGAAGGAAGGAAGGAAGGAAGGAAGGAAGGATCCTATAACCATAAAATCAGAGATCCTGGGCAATATACTATGGATAAGTTTTATGTAAGAAAACATGGAACTAAACTTACAAAAAAAAGACCTTGGTCCTTCCTCAAAATATTGGCAAATGAGTATATAAGTTTAAGTTAAAATGCAATGTTCAAGGTATACATATTTTCTCTTTTTATGATTTACCCCTTAACTATCTTTTTTGATTAATCAACCATCTACCAGTCCAGACTGTGTCAGACAGTAGGTCTCCTCCTGATTATAAAAGCAACATAGTAAGTGATGATGTGAATCCAAGATGACGCAGAGTACTCCCAACCTAAGCATAACCTGAAAGCAGGACCTCTGTCATTAGACAGAAGAAATAAGAGGAAGATAGGATTTCTTAGTGCCAGACCTGGCAGAACAGGTAAATGCTATGACATTTCTGGGGTTTAGAACAAAAGTCAAAGAGGAGACTTGGGGTCCGAATAGGAAAGTTTCTCAAAGGGCTGATGAGAAAAAGCAGGAGATCATCAACAATGGATTATTATTTCTAAGCCTAGACTATTACTTGCCTCATTAGCAGGATGACTTTTTACACCAAAACAAGATGAACAAATTTGAAACCAATCTAAAAAATAACCTCAACTGTGTAACATTTTTATCCCTATATTTTCTAAATGATATATTTTACCTGTGCTTCAAACCACTTGTATTTTCTGAACTGCAGTTAAAGTTAGGATTGGGAGGTACCACTAGTAGAGAAATTAGACAAAAAAAAAAAAAAGAGTTGACACTTGAGTTGTGAACTCTTTTATTTCCTTTAAGTTTAATAGCCTCAGTATGTCCTATATGAGGCAGGATAGGGAAGCCCGGGATTGGAGAACACTAGTTCATGAAAAGGAAAGATTCAATTTATGCCAGAATGCTTCTCTATGTAACTTTATAGCTTGGCATAAATCAGCTTAATTACATTTAAAATTTGTGAACTAAAATTACTTTTATCTAGTATTTCTTCTTATATAGGCAGCCCTTGAGTGGGTAGAGTGAAACTGCTACTTTTTTCCTTTTGCTTAAGGTTATTTCTGATACTGTCCTAACAATATGAAGTTTATTCCTAAAATCTTATTATTTTAAAACAGACCCATTTATATTAACCAAACATATAAATATTACTCCTATAAAGTGTCATTATATGTTATAAACTAAGGCAAAATATTTAATACTTTAGATACTTATAATAATATTTTAAAGTATAATGAAAAAGTGATTATCCTGCTTAAAGGCAAGAGTCTATTATTCAAACATAAGAGAAGTCTGGAGAAGATTCTGATAACATCAAAATAGCAATATTTTAAACCAAACACAAGATTTTAATATATTTTCACTTAATAAAATTCAAACCATCTGTCATCTCTATAATAATTTGACAAATAATAAGCATATATAGTCTTTTTTAATGAACTTACCTGATCAAATCGTAGAACAGGTTCATTTGCATTACCAAAACTATACACTTCCACCATTCCGTCATCTCTCCCAACAAGTAAATCTTTAACCCCATCACCCACAATGTCAAAGCTGTCAATACACAAAATACCTTTAAAAAGAGATATGTGATAAGTTATTAAGAAGACTAATAGTTATCGTCAAGTATATGCCAAGTAAGAATGAAAATAACACATATTCCGACTCAGAATGCTGAGTAAAAATCTTTGAGCAAAATCAAGTGCTCTTCTCTTGTCCATCCACATTCATCTATTTCCAGGTCTTTAAATATAATCTGTGTGAGAACGGCCCCTACATTTATATCTCCCTCCAGCTCTGGCCAAAGCTCCAGACTGATATATTCAATTTGGTATCTTCTCACAGACATCTGCATCTTAAACTTTCCATACCCCAAACAAAACTTTTTATTCCCCTTTTTACCATACCCCCTCAATACTGCTCCTCCCTCTGTCTTCCCCCATCTCCATAAATTATTCTACCTAGCTGCTTAGACAAAAATTCTGGGCTACATCTCTGATTTCTTTTATTCTCACCACCCCTCATATCAAAACCACTAGCAAATTCCATCTTCTCTACCTCCACAATATATACTGAAATTGTCTCCTTTAGGTTTCTAGCTACTGATAGCCTAGACTAAGCTAGCCTAGACTAGAATAAATTATAATAACTCTTCCAGCTGGTCTCCATGCTTCCAATTTTGACCTGCTTCCTCCCGCCCCCTCCAATCCATTCTCCAAACAGTGTCCTTTGTTTTGTTTAGGCTTAGTAAATTAAATGTCACACTCCCACTGAAAATTTTCTGATGACTTCCTACAGCACCTAGATTAAAATTCAAACTGTTTTCCAAGGCTTACAGAGTTTGGCTCTACTCTACCTTTCTGACTCCATCTCCTGCCATGTTAATGCATTTAGCCAAACTGACCTTCCTACTGTTCCTCAAATGAATCAAATCTACCTCCACCTCAAATCTTTCGCACTTACTTCCTCCTCTTCCTGAAACATTTTTTTCCCCGCAAATCTGCATATTGCTAACTTTTTTTCTTATCAGTTGAATCTCAGTTCAAATTTCACCTCTTCTAAGAGGCTATCTTTGACTACCTGGTCTAAAAGTGACCCTCCTCCTTCTATCATCACTCTCCAATACACTGCCCTGTTTTATTTTCTTCAGGTGACTAGGTAAAGCTGTCTTATGTATTTATTTGTTTTTACTCTGTCTCTCCTAATAAGTATTTGTTGAAGGAATAAATGAATATATGAACATCCTGAACATATACATAGGCATCTAACTATCTACCAAATCAGTTATAAATTTTCCTTAGAAAGTTATAAATTCCTTAGAAAACAGGAATATTCTCTGACCCACTGCACTTCTTCTTTGCTTCATAACAAAGACTCCTAGATTCCAATTAATTCTGTACCTCAGACAACTAAGTTACCTCAGACAACTAAAATCCAATTAAAACTGGATTTTAGCATAAAATGATATTAGCCTGTAAAAACGCATCAATACCAAATTACTATAAGCATTTCTTACTTTAAAAGAATTGCCAATAGTATAACAGACCTGACAAATAAACAAATAGTAGATAAATCAAGGTGTGAATTGCTAAGTCTGCTATGTAGTATAAATAAAATAGAATAAATTATATAATTTAAGATACTTAATAATCATTGACACCTCAGAATCTGAACTACATGAAAAGCATACCTCCCCTCTTTTTCTCATTTCGAATTTCCCACTTGTGTATTGGTTTGGATGTAGTAATCTGAATAAGCCCAAGTTTTCCATCTGATGTCCCAAACAAAAGGTCTTCTCCAGAGTCACCTAGTTATAATTAAAGTCAACATATTATATTTCTCCTACAATTAGTAATCTCTTTAAAATTAAAATATTGTTATGTAAAAATCTCATTTAAAAAATATTATAAAAAGACATAAAACTTAATTTTTGAGAATGGTTATTATATATTCACTCAATTTTATAGTTATAAGAGATAAGACATTTCCCCATTATCTAATTTTAAGATGAAGAAACTAGGTTGGGTGCCATGGCTCATGCCTGTAATCCCAGAACTTTGGGAGGCTAAGGTGAGAGGATCATTTGAGCCCAGGAGTTCCAGACTAACCTGAGCAACATGGCAAAACCCTGTCTCTAAAAATACCAAAAAGCTAGCCGGGCATGGTGATGTGTGCCTGTAGTACTAGGGAGGCTGAGGCGGGAGGATCCCTTGAGCCTGGGAGGTCGAGGTTGTGGTAAGCTGAGATTGTACCACTGTACTCCAGCCTGGGAGACAGAGTGAGAGCCTGCCCCCCAGGCCCCCAAAACCAAAAAAAAAAAAAACAGAGAATTAAAAGTTCAATAACTTGTGCTGTTAGTTACTGGCAAGATCCCAGAAAGACAACTGTCTCATTTCTAGTTTATGTCCTTTCTACAATTTCCCATTTTCACTTAATATTAAAACACATAGTTGATTTGTGAAAAATAAAATCCTGATTACCGCCATTTCCATTGTGTAGTGCTAAGACAGTAGGGGGGCCAGGAACTTCAATTTCATACATCACATCAGATCCCTGAAGGAAAAGAAGTATTTAAAAACTGAAACAGAATACAGACTGAAAATAATAGAGGCATTCATGAATAACATCAATATTCAAATATAGTACTCTTAGTAACACCTAGAATAAAATTGCTTTAAAAATTAGGTTATGAATACAACTTGCATTTGTTAGCAATTTTGCATATATCAACTGATTTGAACACATATATATACACACACGTATATATATACACACATATATATACACACACGTATATATATACACACACATATATATATACACACACATATATACACACACACACACATATATATATAGTGTAAAAGACCATGGAGAAAACATTTAAAATATTGTCTACCCTTAATATATTTTAAATACGTTGTTTGCCTGAAAACTTGACACTGGTAGATTTTCCTATCAAGTCTCTAGGAACAAATTATTCCCTGTCCTCTCTAGGTGAACTGGAGAGCTTTAACTTGGAATACATCCAAATATTTTAATAGACACAAAGTTACTTCCTAAGGAAAATGTTGGCCTTGCCTTTGGGTATTCCCAAAATCTGCTCCAGTTAGAGGCAGAATGACCTGCTACTTAGATAAAAAAAAAACAAGTTAGGTCCTTTTATATTTCTCAGTTTTTCAATTTTGCTACTTGTAATGCTTGTCATTTGGGGCACAGTATTTGTGATGCTGTTAAAGAATGATTTAGAAGAACTTATACTCACATGGAAAAAATATCCATGATCTAGAATTGAAAGAAAACACAATTTGCAAAATGGGCCGGGCGTGGTGGCTCATGCCTGTAATCCCAGCACTTTGGGAGGCTGAGGCAGGTGGATCATCAGGTCAGGAGTTTGAGACCAGCCTGACCAACATGGTGAAACCCTGTCTCTACTAAAAATACAAAAAAATTAGCCAGGCATGGCGGTGCACGCCTGTAATCCCAGCTACTCAGGAGGCTGAGGGAGGAGAATTGCTTGAACCCAGGAGGCAGAGGTTGCAGTGAGCTGAGATTGCGCCACTACTCTAGCCTGGGTGACAGAGCAAGACTCTGTCTCTCAAAAAAAAAAAAAAAGAAAAGAAAAGAAAACACAATTTGCAAAATTATAGTAAATATAGTATGACATTTTTGTTTTAATTTTTTTTTTTTTTTGAAATGGAGTCTCACTCTGTTGCCCAGGCTGAAATGCAATGGTGTGATCTCAGCTCGCTGCAACCTCCACCTTCCGGATTCAAGTGATTCTCCTGTCTCAGTTGCCCGAGTAGCTGGATTACAGGTGCAGGCCACCATGCCTGGCTAAGTTTTGTATTTTTAGTAGAGACAAAGTTTTGCCATGTTGGCCATGTTGGTCTTGAACTCCTGACCTCAGGTGATCCATCTGCCTCAGCCTCCCACAGTGCTGGGATTACAGGCGTGAGCCACCACACCGGGCCTAAAAAAGTTTAATGTTTATTTAGAAAACATAAGAAAGCCATATACTTTATCTTTTTTTTGTTTGTTTGTTTTGTTTTTGAGCCAGGATCTGGTTCTGTCATCCAGGCTGGAGTGCAGTGCAGTGGTGTGATCATAGCTCACTGCAGCCTTGACCTCCCAGGCTCAAGTGATGTTCCCACCTCCGCCTCCTGAGTAGCTGGGACTACTGGCATGCACCACCATGCCCAGCTAAACTTTTTTTTTAAGAGATAGGGGTCTCACTATGTTGCCCAGGCTGGTCTTGAATTCCTGGACTCAAGTGATCTTCCAACCTTGGCCTCCCAAAGTGCTGGGGTAATAGGCCTGAGCCACTGTGCCCAGCCCGCTTTATCTTTTATTTAAAATATCATTTTAAAATTTACAGTTTTCCACACGTAACTATATAAACACAAAAGAATATACACAAAACTGTTTAAAAAAGGCAACCTCTGGAGTAATGGATTGTTCATAGAGATAGATGGGGAGTGAGAAAAAAGTATGCAGTGCAGAGGGAAAGATTTCAACTTTATTTTCTACAAATCTTTAGTAATTTTTTTAAAAAGTAATAAGCATATGGCTCTCTTGTCAAACAAAGCAGAATCCTAGAATTCAGTCAATTTCTAATTGAATGCTAAACAGTTCCTGTTAAAAGCCTTGTTCAAAATAATTCATATTTAAAAGCACAGGCTATGGGGGAAATTAATCATTCATAACTCTAAAATGAACCTTTCTTCTTTTCCTTTTTTTTATTTTTATTTTTTTGAGATCGAGTCTCCCTCTGTTGCCCAGGCTGGAATGCAGTGGCGCAATTTCAGCTCACTGCACGACCTCTGCCTCCTGGGTTCGAGTGCTCTTGTGCTTCAGCCTCCTTCCTTCTGAGTAACTGGAATTACAGGGGTGTGCTACTGCAACCGGCTAATTTTGTATCTTTAGTAGAGACGGGGTTTCACCATATTGGCCAGGCTGGTCTCAAACTCCTGGCCTCAAATGATCTTCCTGTCTCAGCCTCCCAAAGTGCTGGGATTACAGGTTTGAGCCACGATGCCAAGCCTAAAATGAACCTTTAACATGACTTTGTCCCTGGGGGGTAAAAACCTCATAGACTCACTGGATCTTTCCTTCTACAAAAGCGCTGATGCCAAGAAATGGCCATCTGTCTATGGAATTCCAAAGAGTAAGATAGCCTGTGCTGGCATGGACTTAACAGCTAAACTTTTTCATCAACTGCGCCAACTATTACCAGCCTGTTTCTGATCCAGTTGATATACCTGTTATATGCTATTTACATTTAAATATTATTTTAAGCATCCTATAGTGTGTGTGTGTGTATATATGTGTGTGCATGCATTTTATTGAAAGCCACTCTCAAGAAGATATAGTGGTAACTATTATTACTCATAACAATGACCTGAAGCCGTTGTTTTAGTCAATCGTGGTTTTTATCAGAAATATAAGGACATCAAAACGATTTTTCCCTCTATCACTCATTTACTTATCCAACAAATATTTACTGAGTGCTTATTTCATATACTGCCATAAATGCTGGATAAATTCAAGTTATATAAAACCCTCCCCCCAGCCCAATTTCTTCCTTTAATTTGATTTTTTGGGGAAGAGAAAGGTGATGGAAGAAGAAAACAAAACAAAGAGGCAGGCAAAGGTTATCTGTAGTCAAAGTACTCCATTCTGACAATAGCTCAGAAATTGTGGATGGTGAGGCAAAAAATATCCCTTTTCTCCCAAATATGCTTCTCTAAAAACTTACAAAAGAACACATTTGACTCAAGTTAAAAAAATTAATGTGTCAAATTATTTAAAAATTGTTTCCATATATTTATATAAGCACTTAAAACAGTAACCACTATCGTTATTTATCTCAAGTACATAATGTTCATCAATATTCTCTCACATAAATTATAAAAAATTAGAAAAATACAAATAACAGCAACCTGTAAAACTCTGAGCACTCTGTCCTGGCAGGCCAATACAGGTGTGATACGAGATAATCTTTCCACTGGAAGGCAGATAACATCATTGATTTTATCCCCAGAAAGGTAATAATGTTGGTCTTTGCAGTCACAATAATGGTTATAGATGTAACTTGCACTGAGAAAGAGGTCTGAGCCAGATATGTGCCTGAGAACATTAAAATAGTAATTTTTAAAAATAAGCACAGGTACTGAATTTTTTTCAGAGATAAAAACAGAATAATTTATAGTTTACTAACATTTTATTACAGACTTAGAGAACACAGTTTTTAAAACTTTCTCCTACTTAATTTCTAGTGTTTTTGGTATAACACTGTTTTTGATTTTGAAAGCTGAAAATGAGGATGTTAAGGCCTCAGCCTTCCCAATAAAACTGAGCTCAGAAAAATGGAAAACAAAGACAAGATAATGATAATTTAACTGTCTATATCCAAAGGCAATTAATACGTCAAAAAATGACTTCTTTGTGTACTATGTGCAAGCACTATCTTAAGTGATTTTTATGTATTAGATCAATTAATCATCATAACTCTATAAAATAGGGACCATTATTATTCCTTTTTACAGGTGAATAATAAAATGTTAAATAACTTGCCTAATGGCATCTAATTATTAAGTAGTAGATTAGACTGCAACTCAGTTTTTTGCTCTAGAGTTAGCTTTCTTACCAGCACACTAATTTGCCTGAAAAAATCTATTTTAAGTGACTCTACCTCAAACTAAATGATAAACAGCAGAAAAAAAATGATTTCATTAGAACTTTATCTTGAAAAGAGAAATGAAAACAAGTTCATTTCAAATTACACTTAACAAAATTTAGTCAATAGTCATAACTATGTTCTAATTCTTAGACTGAATCAAGTTTTCACTTGGGTGAGCTAAAATGGCTTGACAAAAATTTATATGTAAGTGTGATATATTTTTCACTTCTAGATTGTTATTACCATATTTATCATAAAGAGGATAATTTTATTTGAATGTTTCATGTATTCCTCTACCTCCAAGTTCTATTTAAAATTTTTTACATTAAAATTATTATCTAAAGAGCTTATCCTATAATAATCCTCCCTGATTTTCTCTTCTTCAGTTATTAAGTGGCCTCACTTTGTGGCTCTGCATATCATTGAATAGTCCTCTTACTATTTTTATCAACTTCATGAAATTCTGTTTTTCAAAATTTTAAATTCCATTTTGAAACCAATCTGTATTATATTTGCATTATATTGGCCAAAGTACTATTTAGCAATCACTATTGCTGACATGAGTGGGGATACATGGCAGCATTAAGCAGGAAAGGATGTGTAGTGACTAATGTTAAGTGGTCAGTTTCCTTACTGAGTATCTTCAAGTTATAACTTTTGTTTTCCTATAAAACCTTACAAATGTGGGGATTCAGACAATCAATTTTCAAAACTTGAGTAAAGAACTTTTCTATCCCATCTTTGCCACTCTAGTAAAAACATTAAAAAAACCATTTAAAGAGACTATTACTGAGAAACTCCGTATCTTTCTCACACTACTATCCATATACCTGTCCGAATGTAGTTATGCTATTAACACATTACTTTTAGTATTTCACAATTATCATTGGCCATGTCTATATACAAGTGTATTTCAAAAGTGTTACTATTCTTGTTAAACCATTTGAAATTACATATTTCCACTTACCATTGTTTGTTATCTAATTTCACCAAGCCAACATTTTACATCTCAAACATCAGGAGATATGCTGTGCATTATAAAAAACTCTGGGCTGAATCAGTTGTTTCTAGCCTAAGAGTCTGACTGATTATATAACTTGGCTGCACTAGATTCAAAGGAAGAACTTAAAAAATAAAAACAAAACCTACTCCAGGTTATTCTGATTCAGTAGGTATGAGGTGGGACAAGGAATTAAGTGTCCCAAGGGATTCTTCTAAGTAGCAAATTTAAGAAACAGTGAATTAGATGAATTTTAAAGCCCTTTTCAGCTCCCTGTGATTCAAAAACTAAAATCTGAATTGCAAAATTTCACATCAGGAAGCCATTTAGGGAGCTATATTTCACTTAGAGTCTTACCTGATATACCTGAAATTATACCCTATTGGTAATCACTAACTTTGACAGTCAGCTTTTTAACATAGCGATGCTACCTGAAAACCAGAACTAGCAAAAAGAGCCAAGGAACATAAAGCTAAATATCTAGAGATTTATTTTCCATTTTTTCCCATACCTTGATAATGAATCAAAACTGAACCAAGTAGTCAAAAATGATTGTATAAATACTATGAAGTTCTTTAAAACAAAATTTCAACAACCAATTTCATATTGATTGTAGGTCAAATTTAGTTTCTGACTAATAAAATACCTTTAGTTAATTTTATTTTCCAGAACGCCTATTAAGATATGATACTTAATCAGTTGCCTTACATCTATCCAAAATATTATAAATAAGTATGTAAAAATACAAAAAGGAACAATAGACATACATAGCTTTAATGCTTTCAGTGAGGTTTGTTTCAAAAGAGAGGAACTGTTTTCCTCTTTTTGTGAAGGCTCTAATCTCAGATGCTGCAGCAATAAAAATTTTCTCCTGAGGTGTGTTAAGAACCCCTCCTAGTTCCAGTCTTGCAATCTTCGGCCCCGGTAAAGTCTTGAACACTGCCTGAAAAAAATCATTCATGAAAAAAGTACATAAATTACTTCATTGTGAGCATTTTTTCCTTTACAATACAAAATGTTAAGATGTTAAATTTGCAAAATATTACAGTTCCACTATATAGAAATAATTTTAGATAATAATCTGTATACTTTAGTAGCTCTTCAGGTTTTTTGCTGTACTCAACTTTTAAATATATATTCCCACACATATTTGCATGTCATTGAAATCTAAATCCTTGCAATTCAAAGTACAGTTCACTAAGCAGCAATGTTAGCATCACTAAATTGATTTAAAATGCAGATCAAATGAATGAGAATCTGTGTTTTAACAAGATTCCCCAGCAAGTTCCTATGCATATTGAAGTTTTAGAGGCACTGGCTTAAACAATACTCCTATGAACAGGGAAGTCCATTTGGCAAATTATTTAATGAGGTCCAATGAACATGTTTTTACACTTCAATCATCTTTTAAAACTAATCTTTCCTGGTTTCTTTACAATTTTTATAAATTTTAATAGTAAAGGACTATAGAATTTACTGAAAATGTGAATGTATGACTTAATACCTATAATCATATATCTATTTAACTGAAAACAATATTCATTTCATTAATTTTTTCATGGTTATTTTCCATTTTATTATTTGCACCAGCTTTTTCTCCTCCACTTCCTCCCCGTGACTTTATATACAGAGAATAAGATATCTGGGAGAATATGAATAATGGAAACACTGAGTTTCTGGTAGTTTTTATTCTCTTCATCTCTTGGAAATTCCATATAGTATATAATGAATACCAGAATCCACATCTCAGACTCATCATTCTAAATTTCTAATTATGACCTGTAAATATGATAATGTAACAGTAATAACTTCCTTGATTAGGTTAAATTAAGTGGCAAAGGTTGTAGGTTAGTTGCTTCCATGATTACATTATGCTACATAAGATTCTTTCTTAGCAGACTAGAGAAATTTCCTGCTGGCTTTGAAGAATTAGATTACCATGTTGTGAGAAGGACTGTGAGAGGACCACACAGCAAGAAATTGTAGAGACCTCAAAGAACTGAGAGCAAAAAAAAGAAATTTACAGATATTAATAAAGTGGGGACCTCAGTCCTGTAATAGCAAGGAACTGAATTCTGCAAACAACCACATGAGCCTGGAATAAGACCCCACACTCCAGAAAGGAACACAGCTCAGCTGACACCTAAATTGCAGCTGTGTGAAACCTTGAGCACAAACTCCTGTGCTACAGAAACTGTTAGATAATAAATGTGTGTTGTGTTAAGGCCCTAAATTTGAGGTAATATATTACACAGCGTAGAAAAGTAACCCACAACCACAGGATGCCAAAGGTGCCTTACAACTAGCTAGCAAATGACTTTTGTGCTGCCTGCAGACTCATACCTCACATTAACTACTTCCCTCAGAACCCATTTTCCATTATCTGCATTTTAGGAAATTTTTAACCTAGTATATTCAATAAATAGTGCATTCTGTTTTAGAGAACTATTTTTCCCCTTCACAAAGCTATACTTACTCCTGCTTCTCCTTTCTTCATGCCAAAGCACATAACTACCCCATCATGATCCCCAATAACCACCTGTAATAGATGGAAGAGAATCTAAAATTACTATTGTTAATATTATGACCTAATAATTATATACAGGGAAAGCAAGATTCTTAATTTATAAATATTGACTTAATAGAGAACAGAAAATCTAGGAAAGACCCCCCCACAAAAAATAATCCTCAAAAGAACAAGAGCCAAAAGAGAAGGATATGGAGAGTCATTAGAAAAGTAATTGGCCATAGATTTTGTTCCTATAATGTTAATAGGACAACACAAATATGGTTGTTGTTTTTTTTTTTCAACTTTTATTGTAGGTTCTAGGAGTCCACATGCAGGCTGTTATGAAGGTATACTTCCGGACAATGGATTATGGTCAGAAATGCCTACAAAGTAATTTTTTTTTCATAACTGGAGCATAAGAACATTTTAAGATTAACTTTTAAGGGGGCCGGGCGCGGTGGCTCAAGCCTGTAATCCCAGCACTTTGGGAGGCCGAGACGGGCGGATCACGAGGTCAGGAGATCGAGACCATCCTGGCTAACACGGTGAAACCCCGTCTCTACTAAAAAATACAAAAAAAAAAAACTAGCCGGGCGAAGTGGCGGGCGCCTGTGGTCCCGGCTACTCGGGAGGCTGAGGCAGGAGAATGGCGTAAACCCGGGAGGTGGAGCTTGCAGTGAGCTGAGATCCGGCCACTGCACTCCAGCCTGGGCGACAGAGCCAGACTCAGTCTCAAAAAAAAAAAAAAAACTTTTAAAACAGATTATCAAATAAAGTTGTGAGTGACATATTTAATAATTTTAAACACCTTTTTTAAAAGTAAAATTTTAATGTATGAAAATGTACACAAAATATTATAATGAATTATCATGTGCCCATCACCTAGTTTCAACAATTACTAACATGTAGACAATGAATTATTTTGAAATTAAGGATAGAGGGACATTTTAACACTTCTTCCTCAAAAGGAGATATCAAACAACCTTGGACCAGTTCCAGTCCATGGCCTGTTGGGTGCCAGGCCACACAGCAAGAGGTAAGCAGCGGGAAAGCAATCATTTACAGACTGAGCTCCGCCTCCTGTCAAATTGGCAGCGTCATCAGAGTCTCATAGAAGCACAAACCCTATTGTGAACTGCGCATGGTTGTATGCTCCTTAGGAGAATCTAACTAATTCCTGATGATCTGAGGTAGAACACAGTATCATCACAAAACAATCCCAGCCCGATTGGTGGAAAAACTGTCTTCCACGAAACTGGTTCCTGGTGCTAAAAAAGTTTGGGAGCTCTGGTTTAAGAAACTACTAATCAAGTTTAGGCATAGTATCAAATAGAAAGAGTCACAATCATCTGAAAAAGTTATTTAAATACCCCTCCTTATTTCCAACTATGTATCTGTGTCAGCTGATTTTCTTCAAATATTTCAACCAAAACAACATAGCACGAGATTGAATGCAGTAAACAAATATGAAAATCTATGTGTGTATGCTTATGCCAGACATTAACCAAGTTGCAAAAAGTATAACATAATGATACTATACTCACTAAATTCTTTTTTGTTTTGAAAAATAATTATTTTTCATAAAGACGTGTTATATAAACATGTAATGAGTTAATTTTTTAATAAAAGAGTTTAAGCATTTCTTAGTCTTCATTTTAATACAGTAAGTATTGATACATACAACTTACATTAAAAAATGTTCTTTGGGATCCTCAATCATTTAATTGTGTAAAGGGGTGCTGAGACCAAAAAGTTTGAGAAGTGCTAATCTAGGAGACTTAATCCAATAAATGACAATCAGAAATCTGTTGGTTTATCTTTTTCATTTTATTCATTTAATTTTATTTTTAAATTGACAACAATTGTACATATTTGTGGGGTACATAGCAATGTTTCAATATGTATAACATATACTGATCACATTGGGATAATTAGCATATCCATCATCTAAAATACTGATCACTTCTCTGTGTTGGGATCAGTCAATATCTTCTTTTTAGCTATTTGAAACTATATATTGTTAACTATAGTCATCCTATAGTGGTATAGACTACTTGAGCTTATTTTTCCTATCTAGCTATTTTATATCCTTTAATAAATGCCTCCCTATCCCTTCCTTCCCTCTACCCTTTGCAGCCTCTAGTATTCTCTGTCCTACTTTTTACTTTAATGTGACCAAATTTTTTTAGCTTCCACATATTAAGGAGAACATGTGGTGTTCAACTTTCTGTTCCTGGTTTATTTCACTTAACATAATGTCCTCCAGTTCCATCTATGTTATTGCAAATGACAGGATTTCATTCTCTCGCTCTTTTTTTTTTTTTTTTTTTTTGAGACAGAGCTTTGCCCTTGTCGCCCAGGCTGGAGTGCAATGGCACCATCTCGGCTCACTGCAACCTCTACCTCCAGGGTTCAAGCGATTCTCCCACGTCAGTCCCCCAAGTAGCTGGAATTACAGATGTCTGCCACCATGCCTGGCTAATTTTTGTATTTTTAATACAGATGGGGTTTCACCATGTTGGCCAGGCTGGTCTCCAACTGCTGACCTCAGGTGATCCGCCCGCCTCCGCCTCCCAAAGTGCTGGGATTACAGGCGTGAGTCATCGTGCCTGGTCAGGATTTCATTATTTTTTTTTTGCTTAATAGTATTTCATTGTGTATGTATACCACATTTTTTTATACATTCATCTGTTGTTAAACACCCAGGCTGATTCCGTATCTTGGCTATTGTGAACAATGCTGCAATAAAACATGGGGGTGCAGTTGTCTCTTTGATATAATGATTTCCTTTGGGTAAATTCACAGTATTGGGGTTGCTAGACCATATAGTAGCCCTATTTGTAGTTTTTGAAAAATCCTACATACTGTTTTCTATAGTGGAGGTACTATCCCACCAACGGCACAGAAGAGTTTCCTTTCTCCACATTCTTGCTAGTATTTGTTGTTTTTTGTTTTTTTGTTTTCTTGTCTTTTTGATAACAGCCATTCTAACTGGGGTAAGATGATACTTCATTGTGGTTTGATTTGCATTTTCCTGATGATTAATGATAAGTATTTTTTCCTATTTTTTTGTCATTTGTATGTATTCTTTTGAGAAATGTCTGTTTAGATCATTTGCCCACTTTTTAATCAGATTGCTTGTTTGTTTGCTATTGGTATGTTTGAGTTCCTTGTATATTCTGGATATTAATTCCTTGTTGGATGAGTAGTTTGCAAATATTTTAAATCCCATTCTATAGGTTGTCTTTTCACTCTTGTTGTTTCCTTTCCTGTGTAGAAGCTTTTTGGTTTGATATGATCCCATTTGTTTATTTTTGCTTTTGTTGTTTGTGCTTTTGAGGTCTTATTCATTAAATATTTCCCCAGACCAATGTCCTAAAGCATTAACATTTAGGTCTTTTTTTGTTTTTTGTTTTGTTTTGTTTTTTTGAGATGGAGTCTTGCTCTCCCAAGTAGCTGGGATTACAGGTGCCTGCCACAACGACCAGCTAATTTTCTGTATTTCTAGTAGAGATGGGGCTTCATCATGTTGGCCAGGTTGGTCTCGAACTCCTGACTTCAAGTAATCCACAAGCCTCGGCCTCCCAAATTGCAGGAATTACAGGTGTGAGCCACCATACCTGGCCACATTTAGGTCTTTGATCTATTTTGTGTTCATTTTTATATGGGGTGAGAGGGTGAGAGGTGGAAGTCTTGGTTTCATCCTTCTGCATACGAATATACAGTTTTCCCAGCACCATTTATTGAAGAGGCTGTCCTTTCCCCAGAGGGTGTTCTTGGCTCTTTTGTCAAAAATCAGTTGGTTGTAGATATGGATTAATTTATGAGTTCTCTATTCTGTTTTATGTTCTCTGTGTCTCTGTGTTTTTATGCCAGTATTATGCTGTTTTGGTTACTACAGCTTTGTAGTATATTTTGAGATCTAGTAGTATAATGCCCCAGCTTTGTTCTTTTTACTCAGGATTGCTTTGACCATTTGGGGTCTTTGTGGTTCCTTTTTTAAGATTTTTTTTCTTTCTGTGAAGAATGACATTGGTATTTTGATAGAGATTGCATTGAATTGTAGATTGCTTTGGGTGGTATTGTCATTTTAACAATATTAATTCTTCCAATCCATGAACATGGGATGTTTTTCCATTTGTTTGTATCCTCTTTAATTTCCTTCATCAGTGTTTTATAGTTTTCCTTGTAGAGGTCTTTCATTTCCTTGGTTAATTTATTACTACGTATTTTATCTTTTATCTATTATAATTGGGACTGAGTTCTTGATTTCTTTTTCAGCTAGTTTGTGGTGTATAAAAACACCACTAATTTCTGTATATTAATTTTGTATCCTGCAACTTTACTGAATTCATTTGTCAGTTCTAAAAATTTTTTGGTACAGTCTTTAGGTTTTTCTTTCTTTTTTTTTGAGACAGAGTCTTGCTCTGTTGCCCAGGCTGGAGTGCAGTGGTGCGATCTCGGCTCACTGAAAGCTCCACCTCCTGGGTTCACACCATTCTCCTGCCTCAGCCTGCCGAGTAGCTGGGACTACAGGCGCCTGCCACTATGCCCGGCTTTTTTTTTTCATTTTTATTTTTTATTTTTTTTTAGTAGAGACAGGGTTTCACTGTGTTGGCCAGGATAGTCTCGATCTCCTGACCTCACGATCTGCTCGCCTCGGCCTTCCAAAGTGCTGGGATTACAGGCGTGAGCCACCGTGCCCAGCTGAGTCTTTAGGTTTTTCTATATATAGGATCATGTCATCTGTAAACAGAGATAATTTGATTCTCCTTTCCAATCTGGATACACTTTATTTCTTTTTCTTGTATAATTGCTCTGGCTAGGATTTCTAGTACTATGTGTAATTGTTGATTCATCTTGCTAAAATGTTTATATATCAGGATAAAGTATTTTTTGCAGTTTTAAAATACTTGGCTAGTCTACCAAGAAACTGTAATTGTTTTGTGGAAATCATAGGATCAATATTTCTTTAAACATAATCAGTGTTGTTAAGTACAAAGTTTAACATCAAAATATTTAATTACTTTAAAATATGAGAAAGTTTAAAGAGAACATTTTCTTGATATCTTATTCTGCTTTATATTTCTTTTTTCATACATCTGATATACAGAAAAATGGAGTATGGTTTTTAAGTTTGCCTACACTATTTACTAATGGTATGTAATAATTTTAATGTCCAAGAAAATTATTGTCTATAAATGTCCCTTGGTATTCCAATTTCTGTTCAAATTAAAAAAAAAATCATTTCCATTTTAACATTAGCATTTTAAAGAGAATAACTTAATAATAAAGAAGGAAATAGGAGCCTCTCCTCTGTCAGTACTAGCGAATAGTGGAGAAATCAGAATCTATACAGCACCTTTTGTGTAGCTCTGTGTCTTGAGGCAGGAAGTAGCTTCATAGTCTTCTGAGATGTTACTCCCACCTAAAGAAAAACACCAGGTGCTTAGTGAATTTAATTTGAAGTTATTACAGAGATTAAAAGGATCAGCAGATTTAGGTTATAGTGAACCTTTTTGTTAAACTGAAATTAGTGATATAACTATTATCAGTAATTAACTTATTTTCTAATGAGATATGTCATATTAGTCAGAATACATATACAAAACAACCAAAATAGTAAAATTTATCCTAATGCCAAGCCAAAAATAGTTGTGTAAGATGACTGTCAAGATGCTTTATTTAAAAATATCTCTAGAAGCCTTCTTTTCCAACTGCATACAGTTGTTGAGCAAAGTGATTCAAGAACTTTGAAAATAGATTATAGTTATTAGAAATGCAACGTAAGACCACATGCAGTGGCTCATGCCTGTAATCTCAGCACTTTGGGAGGCTGAGGTTGGAGGATCACTTGAGTCCAGGTGTTCAACACCATCCAGGCAACACAGGAGACTCTGTCTCTACAAAAAATAAAAAATTAGCTAGGCATGGTGGTGCATGCCTGTAGGCCCAACTACCTGGAAGGCTGAGGCAGGAGGATAACTTGAGTCCAGGAATTTGAGGCTTTGGTGAGTCATGATCATGCCACTGTACTCCAGACTGGCTGGGTGACAGAACAAGACCCTGTCTCAAAAACAACAACAACAACAACAACAACAACAACATAGATTTCTGCTAAAATAACAAACATGATGATGGCCATAATATCCAATCTAACGAGTGAAGATTATTTTACAAAAAAATACAGAGGATGAAAGCAGCAGGGAACTGTCACTGCTGGTGTATAGTTAGGAGAAGAGGATGGGACCAATGGGAGAGAAATTGGTGAAAACAACACATCATGATAAAACTTTCATATAGTATAAATGACTTTATTCTGAATTCCAGAAAATTGTATTAAAGTCATCTGTTTAGATTTGTATTTCTGAAACATCAATCTAGCAAGTGATGTGAAGGATGGCTTGGAGGGAGATGAAGCTGGTGTTCAGGAGCCCAATTTGGAGGTTATTTCAATTATTCAAGCAAGAGAAGATGAGAACTCAAATGAGGGTAATAGAGATGAAAGACACGGGACAGATTCAAGAGATATTTGGGAGTTAAAAGCAGCAAGATGTGGTGAACAGTTGGATATGGAAGATATTAAGGTGGGAAGTACATAGCATAAACCCCTAGAAAATTCACTGGGCAAACATTTGTACCATTAGCTGAAATGAGATGGCCTAAAAATATGGTGAGGAATTGGGGTAGAGAGAATTTTAGGTCTGAAAGAAATTCTGAAAGGCAATGTGGTGTAAAAAAAAAAAACCAGTTCTGGAGTCCGAGACTTTGATTCAAATAGCAAATCCCTAATTTTTAGCTACTAAGCAAATTACTTACCTTCTTTAACCCCTTAGATCCTCATTTATAATATTGTCTACTTTGCAAATTCTTATGAGGATTAAATATGTTGGTAGGTACGCTAAATTCTTAGAATAAGCTAGATGCACATTAAACTGTTTTCATGGCTTTTTTTCCCCCCTTCTGTCTGTCACCCTGGGTAGAGTGCAGTTCCATGATGTTGGCGCACTGCAGCCTGCCTCCCGAGTTCAAGCGATTCTCCTGCCTTAACCTCCCGAGTACCTGGGATTACAGGCGCCCGCCACCACGCCGGGCTAATTTTTGTATTTTTTGTAGAGACGAGGTTTAACTGTGTTGGCCAGGCTGGTCTCGAACTGCTGACCTTAGGTGATCCGCCCGCCTCGGCCTCCCAAAGTGCTGGGATAACAGGCGTGAGCCACCGCCCCCGGCCCAGTTTTCATTGCTTTTACTATGATCTGCCTGGTGCGGTCCAGCTCACAGTAAGAAACAAGTGCCTGGTGCTTCGGCGAACGATACGGGTGGAGATGGAGATTGAGGATTAGAGGCCCTCAGGCAGCCACGGCTAGGGAGGAGGAGAAGGGCCCTGGGGGGAATCCGGGATCAGACCGTGTCAGCATTTTCAGAGCATCCTCAGGAACCGGCAGGAGCCAGCACCGTGGGGGCTTGCGCCGCTTTTCCCCGGTCCCCTCGGACCGTTACAGACAAGAGGGAGCTGCCCAAAGGCGGGGTGCTGAGAGGTCGGCACCCAGCCCGGCTCCTTCGCCTCCGCACCAGCTCCTGGAGACCCAGACTTTCGGCAGTGGAAGGAAGGAATCCTCTCTGGGAGCTGGGCTTGTCCAGCTCGGTGCCCGCCCCATCCCTTGGGTTTACCTGTAGATAATCCATTCGGTTTAAAATCGGATCCATGATGACAAAGCGGAGGGGCTAAGCAGCGCCGGACAAGAACAGGAGGGACAGAGACTGCCGGCCCGCAGGCCTCCGACCCAGTCTGAAAGCCGCCCGCGCCCCCTCAGAATCCAGCTCCAGCTACCGCGCCCACTTCCTGGGCTGCAAAGGCCGGGCGACAGGGCAGTGGCGTCCTGCGTGACGTCAGTACGCTGCTGCGAGGGGCTCCTGGATGAATATGAAGGCCCGTCCCTTTCCCGAAGCACCGCCCACTGATAGCGTGTTCCAATCAGAGGCGGAGAGGAACTAAGGGCGCGAGGTCTGGGAGACTCAGACAGGGCGGTTTCCACAGAGACCCCAGACGCAGCCTTGGCTCCACCCTCACCGCGGCCCAGGTCTAATACTGGACTTCTTTCCTCATCGCTGTAGAGAAAACTAGTTAAGCCTGCTGGATTCTGACCGATTTCACTCTGACATTGGAAAGGGTCCCGCGAAGAATTAGGTTCCACCGTTATAGGTGTTAGCTTAAAGCAGCGGTTCTCAGACTTTTGGCCTTAGGACTTCTTTACAAAACTCTTAAAAAACCGTTGAGGACCACAAAGCCATTTGCTTTTTGTGGGTTTTCTCTCATTTTTATTTATTTATTTTTTATTTCAATAGTTTTGGGTGTACTGGTGGGTTTTGGTTACATGGATGAACTCTTGAGTGGCGAATTCCGAGATTTTAGTGTACCCGTCACCCACCAGTGTACACTGTACCCAATATGTAGTCTTTTTATCCCTCACCCCGCTCCCAATCTCCTCCCCACCTGGAGTCCCCAGAATCCATTACATCACTCTGTATGTCTTTGCCTCCTCGTAACTTAATCCCACTTATACGTGAGAACATGCAGTATTTGGTTTTCTATTCCTAAGTTACTTCACTTAGAATAATGGCCTCCAGCTCCATCCAAGTTGCTGCCAAAAGGTATTATTTCGTTCCTTTTTATGGCTGAGTAGTATTCAATGGTGTATATATATACTACATTTTTTTAATCCACTCATTAGTCAATGGACACTTAGGTTGGTTCCATATCTTTGCAATTGCGAATTATGCTGCTACAAACATGCATGTATATGTGTCTTTTTCCTTTGGGTAGATACCCAGTAGTGGGATTGCTGGATTGAATGGTAGCTCCACCTTTATTTATTTATGGAAGCTTTATACTGTTTTCCATAGTGGTGGTATTAATTTACATCCCCCAAGCAGTGCAAAAGTGTTCCCTTTTCACCATATCCACGCCAACATCTACTGTTTTCTAATTTTTTTTTTTTTTTTTTTTTTTTTTTTTTTAGACAGAGTCTTGCTCTTGTCCCCCAGGCTGGAGTGCAACAGCACTATCTAGGATCACTGCAACTTCCGGCTCCCGGGTTTAAGTGATTCTCCTGCCTCAGCCTCCCGAGTAGCTGGGATTACAGGTGCCCGCCACCACGCCTGGCTAATTTTTGTATTTTTAGTAGAGACAGGGTTTTGCCATGTTGGCCTGGTTGGTCTCAAACTCCTGACCTCGTGATCTGCCCGCCTCATGGCCATTCTTGCAGGAGTAAGGTGGTATCTCACTGTGGTTTTAATTTGCATTTCCCTGGTGATTTAGTGATGTTGAGCATTTTTTCATGTTTGTTGGCGATTTGTATATCTTCTTTTGAAAAATGTCCTTTGCCCACTTTTTGATGGGATTGGTTTTTTTTAACTGATTTGAGTTCCTTATAGATTCTAGATACAAGTCCTTTATCAGATGCACAGTTTGAAAATATTTTATTTTACTCTATGGACTGTTTAGTGATTATTTCTTTTGTTGTGCATAAGCTTTTTAGTTTAATTAGGTCCCATTTATTTATTTTTGTTTTTGTTGCATTTGGCTAATGTCCAAAAGAGTTTTTCCAATGTTATCTTCTAAAATTTTTGTGGTTTCAGGTCTTAGATTTAAGTCTTTGATTCATCTTGAGTTGATTTTTGTATAAGGTGAGAGATGGGAAGCCAGTTTCATTCTTCTACATGTGGCTAAACCAGTTTTCCCAGCACCATTTATTGAATAGGGTGCCCTTTTCCCAATTTACGTTTTTGTATGCTTTGTCGAAGATCAGTTGACTATAAGTACTTGGCTTTATTTCTGGGTTCTCTATCTGTTCCATTGGCCTATGTGTCTACTTTTTTTTTTTTTTTTTTTTTTTACCAGTACCATGCTGTTTTGGTAACTAGCCTTGCAGTATAATTTGAAGTCTGATAACGTGATGCCTCCAGATTTGTTCTTTTTGCTTATTATTACTTTGGCTATTCAGGCGCTTTTTTGGTTCCATATGAATTTTAGAACTTTTTTTTTTAGTTCTGTGAAAAATAGTAATGATATTTTGATGGCAATTACACTGAATCTGTAGATTGCTTTGGAAAGTATGAAGACCATTTGTTTATATGAGTTTACCTATTGATTTTAACCATATTAGACATTAGAACTGAAAGCAATTAGTGTTTTTTAAAAACCTATGACAAATATCTTAATTAAAAATATTTTCCAAAATCAAAAAATAAAATGAAATAACTGGTACTGTGTGCAAATCTATTTTCTGTCCATTTTAATAGTAGACAGGAGGAGCTTCAAATCTGCTACTGCATTCAATCTATTGTTATATGTTGTTTTTGTTCATGTGTATGAAGAAAATTTCGTCCAAACTCAACAAGTGGTAGTTTTTTGAAAGGTTAGTTGCAATGTGAAATGTGACTTCGTTACATAACATCAAAAAATCCCATCTGTTAGTACTACCATGGATCTCATCAGTAAAGTCCCGAGTATGGGAGATCTGTCAAACTTAGAATGGCGAATACATATTTTCCAAAATTCAAATTTGTGCTTGAAAGTTTGAAATTTACGCATTGGCAACAAATGTCGATTGTTTTCCTTGAACTGATAGGTTCCCTTCTTGAATTCACAAGAAAGTAAATGCCAAATATCTAAGTCTGAATAATCATAATTTGTCAGTAATTCCTTCAAATAAAAATAGTGTCCCATGAAAAAAGCAGCAAGTTCAGCTAGCAGCTCAATCCCACAAGTGCTTTTCCTTGAGCCAGCTAATATACTTCAGTATTCAGTAGAAGGATTTTATACATACTTCTTATGTCATCACATAGAACATTTAAAAAGACATATTCAAGAGTTAAGATGTAATAAATGAGGGCTGAATCAGAAGAAAGAAAAAAGGAAAAAAGACAATATTAACAATGTTGCTGCTTCGTAAAGGACATTTTTATATGAAATGGTTTTTGTTTCCTATCAGTGCATGGCATGTAGAATATGGTGTCTACTAGTACGGTTTGGAGCCACTATTTTGATTTATGCTTAAGCACTAGCAGTATTAACCACCATTGTTTTGGTACCATCATCGCAAATGTCAGCAGAGTGAAATGGCAAATCACATCTTAGTATTATGAAAATAGTTTCAAAATTGCAGACAGCTGTGAAAAGGCCTCAGGAACCAACCCTGCCCCTCGGGGCCCCACAGACTACTACTGACCCATAGTGACCCACGATTTAAGAGCTGACATTCTTTGACTCACTTTCATCAGTCCTTCCTTAACGCGCATAGAGCTCTGCCTAGGGAAGTACAGATGAGTTCAGATACAGCTACTTTCCTGATTTTTGTGGTTTTTCTTTTTCTTTTTTTTCTATTTTCTTTTTTTTTTTTTTTTTTGTAGAGATGGAGTTTTGCCATGTTGCCCAGGCTGGTATTGAACTCCTGGTTTCAAGTGATCGCCCACCTCAGCCTCCCAAAGTTCTGGGATTACAGACATGAGCCACTGTGGCTTTCCAGGAAAGAGTTCACAAATAATTGTGAAACAAAAAGAATTAAATCCCTGAGAAGAGGTGCTTCTTAAGAAGAGAAGTTATTTACTGCAGCAATATCTGAAAAAGTTTTCCCTATGTTCCAGACAATTATTTCTCTGAGGCTAAAATAATTCCACATTAAAATAGACAATATATGAAGATGGGTTAGCTCTTCAGCAATTTGGGGGAAATATACATCAATTTAGATTCAAGAAAAAAAATACAGATAAATCTTAGAAGTCAACTGAAAAATAAAGCCACAGAAGAGATAGAAGAAACTAGAATTGTATAGCATTTTACAGAATTTTGGAGGTTGGAGGATATATTATTAGTTTGCTAGGGCTGACATAGCAAAGTACTACACACTGGGAGGCTTTTCAACACAGAAATTTATTTTCTCACAGTCCTGAAGTCTAGAAGTCATAGATCAAGGTGTCAGCAGGGAACCAAACCAATCTTCAGAGGCCTCTCTTCTTGGCTTGTAGATCGCCGTCTTCTCCCCGTGTCTTCACATGGTCCTTCCTCTATGTCTGTTTGTGTCTTATCTTGTCTTTTTAGAAGGACACCACTCATATTGAATTAGGGCCCACTGAGATTATCTCATTTTAAATTAATCACCTCTTTAACGACCCTATCTCCAACTATAGTTATAGTCCGAGATACTGAAGGCGAGGACTTTAACACGTGTTTTGAGGGGACACAATTCAGCCCATAACAGACGGAAACTGATCTCAAAAGGAATAGAAGAAACCACAAAGGAAAAAAGCCAATATGGTGGTACATGCCTGTAGTCTCAGCTATTTGAAGGCTGAGGCTCAAGAAGATTACTTGAGCGCGGCAATCTAGCCTGGGCAAAATAGCAAGGCCCCATCTCTAAAAAACAAACAAACAAACAAAAAAACTAACTTAAAAAAAATGAAAAGTAAAGATAAACATTTCAATATGTCACAACAATGTTTAAATGAAAACAAAAATATAGGAGAAAAGAGTTAATATCTTAAAAAATAGTTCATACAAATAATTAAGAAATACTATGATTCTAATAAATAGGCAAAACAAAAACAAAAACAGACAATGCTGGCAGTGCTTATTTTCCATTTAACAAGTGATGTCCACTGTTTAATTAATTGTGTAGAAGGAAAGCAAGAGTTTGTTTTGAAGCTCAAATTTATTTTAAAACAGTGAAATGAGGCTATGATATAGCATCAAAACAATACAAAAAGTTTGCATAATATGATATTTGGAGTTCTTTGATTTTGCATTTAAAAATGCAATTTATTATTTTTAAAGTACATACTATGTTTTGTTTCTAAATGATTAGTAAAGATTTCAAACTACTAATTTTAAGTATTCCTCAACTAATTAATTAGCAGGGTGAGGAATTTTTATTCACAATAAAGAAAATGTCAAGTTAAATTACCACTGTGTGTCCTCTTTTTAAAGATGTTTTAAGGTATCATAGACATCTTAGTGGTCTTTATAAAACTCAACAGAAGATGATTGCCTCTCAGATGTGACAAAGACCACTTTGGAGACAAATTTGCAGAATTACCATGCACCTCAGTAATTTATAACCTTATGTTATGGTGCTAAAGCAATCATTATAAGTTAAACAACTTATGGCTATAAATAAAAGCAATTTAAACTGCATTAAAGTTAAAACCATCAACACGCTAGTAGTGGTCAGCAGAATGACTGAGTCATGAGTAAAAACATTAGTTTCCCCTAACACATGGTATAAATTTAGAAATTTTCAAACTCTTTTTTAAACTGAACAAAGTTACAGATACCCATTTTAGGTTTTTTTTTTTTTTTTTTTTTTTTTTTGGTGGGGGGTTCACTTTGTCACCCAGGCTGGAGTGCAGTAGCGTGAACACAGCTCACTGCAGCCTCAACTTCCCGGGCTCAAGTTATCCTCTTACCCCAGCCTCCTGAGTAGCTGGAACCACAGACACACGTCACCATGCCCGGCTAATTTTTTTGTATTTTTTGTAGAGACAGTTTCACCATGTTGCCCTTCTGGTCTCAAACTCCTGAACTGAAGCCATCGACCTGCTTCAACCTCCCAAAGTGCTGGGATTACAGGTGTGCACCACAGTGCCCAGCCTGATTTTGGGAGGCTGAGGCAGGAGGATCGCTTGAAGCCAAAAGTTCAAGACTAGCCTGGACAACATAGGGAGACCCATTTCTAAAAATACATTTTAAAAAGTTTATTTAAAAAATTTAAAAAGACACAGAAAGAAAGATTACCACCTTGGATGATATTAACCTGCTGAAACACCTCTATGAGCTCCAGGGACTAGAAACCCCTGATGTAGCATAACCCTGTTTGCCTGAACTATTTATGAAGACCAGAGAAGTTAAATGGGTTGTCCCACACCACAGTCATTAGTGTGGCTTCAGTTCTCTTTAGATATTGTCCATAAGACAATTTATCATCCCATTTAGAAAAGCTGCTTTCACTTGGCTTGCACATTTGAAATATAAATATATTGACATATTGGGTAAGATAGTTATCCTAAATTGTATCAAATTTGCTTTTAATAATCACAACATATCATTTTAAAGTTTTTATTGTGCATAAACTCTTTGAAGATATTGTGTACCATTTTTCAAAGTTTTCTCATTATTTCAAGTCTAAGAACCCAAACTTTTGAACAGATTGTGACTTCCATAAAGTCACGGGTGCTCTGTAAATTCAATATAGCAGGAACTTACAAAGTACCAAACTTTTCAAACAGTACGTCTAAGAAGCAGTTTGACTGTTGCTTTCTTTTCTTTATTTTATCTGTAACTGAGAAAAAAATAAGAATAGCAAAGAGGTAAAAAAATGAGAGATGTCCCAAGGAAAGAAGAGTCCTGGGGTTTTGACAATCCTTTAATTAATGTTTTTTTTTCTAGAAAGTTGTTTTTGGTCCTGTTTAAACGCTCCCTTCTCTGAATTGCCCCAACAACTTTGAGCTTTGTTTTCCCAAAGGTATCTGTTAAAAGTGAGTAGGGAAAGGACTTGCTACCCAGAGCTATCTTTATCCTCAAGTGAAGGACTAATTCTGACAGCAATCCCCTCGACTAATCCTCATTTCAACCGTAGGCTACCACATTAATACCTTCTGTCTTAGTGTGAGTTCCCTAAAAGCAAAACCTAACAAGATTTGGATGTGATGACTCATTAAGGGGATGCTCTCTGGAGAAAGGGAGGGAAGGAAACTTGAAAAGGCAGAGGAAGAAGCTAAACCAAGATTTCATCTCAACTTGAGTCTGGCATCAGCCTAATCCTTTCAGGAGCTCTGGAGCATGAACTGCACCAAATAGTTGGCCCCACCTTGAGACATGGGGCCGGCCCTTTGTGCCCCCCCCCATCAGTCACTGGCCATGGGAAGCTGGAGGCATCACATCCAGGGTAAAACTGCTTCTTTTTAGCTGAGGGCAATTCTCCAGGGGAAGTGATTAACTAGGAACTGGACAGGAGAATATGGGAGACAGGTGCACTGGCCCAGTAGAGGGCATCTGGGCAGGGCATCAAAAACATCAATCACACACACTACACTTTGTCATCACACCTTCTTCTGAAACACCACCTTGAAATGATAAGGAAAAAGATGAAATATTAAAACTATACCAGTTTATACATAGTAAATAAAGAAAAAATGCCTGTTAAGAGCTCCACAGTTGTGAGGGGCATGGATGCAAAAAAAAAAAAAAAAAAAAAGTCAGTTTTTTTTTTAATTCACATCGTGTAGATACCATGAGGCTTATCTTCATACTTCTCTGATCTTCAGATTCCAAGGATCATAGGCTGAATGTCCCCAGCTGAATCTGCCACTTTTTCATTCAGCATTTTTTCCAACCCCAAGGAAGAAAATTACAAAATATTCAGTTCCATAGCTATAAGCAAAAACTTTTCACACTTGGAATCTGGACCATACTATAAAACTATCAGAAATATCTATTATAGAAACTTTGTATCTTTACTACCTTAATATAACATATGGTAACATATAACAATGGAAAAATTCAATATTTTATTCAGTTCTGAGACACAACATGAAGTCTTAAAAATGTTTAAGACAAATACTCTTAGCATCGCACAAAAGTTAATGAAATATTCTACAATGGTAGCAAAAAATGTATAAAGTTCCTTTCTTAATTTAACTCTCAAAAAGTAGAAATTAAGAAGTAACTTTAAAGAGCTTTATGTAGTTCCATTTAACACTTATTTCTGTCTTCACATCTAGAAAGCTTTTCTGTGTGACAGCAATGATTTTAAAGTAGCATGTATTTAGTTGGTTTTAAGGACCTCTGAAACTCTTTGAGCTATGATCACAATTCGTATTCCTATAAGACTTGACAGCAACTGACTGAAGGGACTCAGGATGCTAAACATAACTCTATGAGAGATTTAAACCTAGCTGGTTAAAAAATGCTTTGAATGTTTTATGGTCTCTGAAGTGACCGGGGAACTTACTGGTCTGTATGCCTTTTCCCAAGAGGCATTGCGGATATTACCAGCATTCAGCTCAGTTATGTAATAAGGCATACGTAGATACATCACAATCTATTTTATATAGAAAGTGGAATTGGAATCCTTTGATAAGAAAAAAAGATGTCAATCGTTGTAAGCAATGATGGCAGGAAATGCCTCAAAAGGAACTGAAACACACTTGGGGATGCTTGGTCATGTCTTTCCAGGTACGCCCATAGTCATTGCTCTTTCCTATTTCTTCCCATGAGCAGACCCTCCAAAACTCAGAAGGGAGCTCACGGATGAGATACGAAGTCAGCTGTTGATATCTCATTTAGCATTAAAGCAGCAGAGGCAGAAAATAGACCGTTATAACAAAATGACAACCCTGCATAATCTCCAACTTAAAAGAAAATCACATTACTGAAAAATGACAAATGTAAGTCTAAGATAGAAAGCAAGCAGTCTGTATTTTAGAAAAATCTTTAATGTGTTGTTTTAAATAATTATATGAAACTTAAATATTTAATGTAATTATATTTTCCATTAACCGATTTTGTTGTTAAACTCTTCCCTAGGGGCTCAATGGTTCTAGGATTATCAGTGACACCTAAAATTCTAAGAATGTCTTACCAAGTCATAGCTGGTTGTAAAATTTCTTCAGTTTCTATTTAAAAAAAAAAAAGATCTCTTCAGAACTCAGAACTTGGACAAGGGAAGGTATGCTACATAGTGAGGACTTTTTATTTTTATTTTGTTGGCAGTTCAGTTCAGTTGGTTTCAACATTTATTGAGCACCTACTATGTACCAGGCACTGTACTAGATGCTGGAGACACAAAGATGAATAAGACATGGTCCCTGTCCCCAAGAAACTGATAGTCTCTTGGAGGCAAACAGGTAGTGCAAAGATGTGGAGTTTAAAATGAATAAAAATTTCAATAATATAGTAATATTGGGCTTTTCAACACAATGGTATGTCATTGTAATGTCAAGGCAGACAAATAAAATGCATTTTCATGTGATAAAACAATAAAACCATTACGAGCTAACTTTTAAAGATTCACATGATAAAGGTAGTTAATACTAAAAATGTACATCATAGTTTTTCAAGTATTTCATACTTAGAAATATTATTGCCCACATTTGTGCTATAGTCAAAGCCAAATCCAGGTTGCCGCATCATTCACATCTCAGCATGCTGGGATTCAGTTTCTCACTAAGTTTATGAATTAGAATGGCTAATTCCTCAGTTGCTTGGCTCTTGTCTTCCAAAAGTTCATAACGAAGGCTGGAGATATCTTGCTTGATTTCTTTTAATTCACCTATAGTATTAATATTAAAAAATTATTGGTAAGTTGCTCTTTGCATGTAGAAGAGAACAAAGAGTGAAATTCTTACAATATCAATGTATTTGCTTCATAAGGTCTCCAAAGTAGCTACTTCAAAGTTTTTTCTTTAAAATATTTAAGAAACATCTGTCTTTAAAGGTATACTGACCTTTGAAAAAAGCTATAAAAATAGTCCAGCTATATTTTTTAAGAGTAACACTCAGCTTAAAGTATTGTCCTTTTGTTCACCCACCTTTTAACATAAGGTGATTCTCTGTTAACTAATCTATAGCCAGGATATCTCCTTTCTGACTACAAGGGAGTTCCTTTGTTTCTTTCAAGTGTAAAGGTTGACACCTGCATCAAACATTTCCCATTGCTAGGATCAAAGGGAATCCTAGAAAAACTAAATTTTACTAAAAATGAATCAATCTGTCTGACAGGCAAATAATTTTAAGGCAAATATGAAGTAAGGGAAAGAAAGAAAAAAGAGTAGAGAGTGTTTATTAGGGAAGGTAATAGCAATGGACATGAAGACATTAGTTTGTCCAGCATAAAGGATTAATGTATAAGGAAGTAACAAGCAACAGCGCAATTGAGGAGTTTAGATATGATACCACTGGCAATATATTCTTGAAGAGAATAGGAAAGTTTGGGCTATAAAAATAAATTGTTCCCATAGTTCAGTTTGGCAATATTTAGAGCATACGTGTATTGCAATTAGAAACTGGATTCTCTTCAAGGAGAGGCAGTATTTGGTTAAAAAAGAAAAGAAACACTGGATTCTCTTGCAAGTGACTGTAATGTAGATAAATCACTGACTTTCAAAAGTGAATGTTGGAGCAAGAATTTACCTTGAATCTAAGAAATGATTCTTCAAACCATTGACTTAGCTTTTTATAATAAAATGGCATTTGAAACACACCTTTGATGATATTTCCTGGTATCTTTAATATGCTTTAAAGTATAATTTCAATATTCTTCTATTACATAAAAGTCAGAGCCTTTTTATTTGAAAAAAATTCTAACTCTCAGAAATACAAAACATTTGAGGAGCCTTTTGTGGCAAAAAAAAAAAAAAAAAAAAAAAAAAAGTGCTTCCTTTGGCATATGGCAATATAAAAGGAATAAACTGATCTTATTTGAAATCATGAGGCAGACTTCGGTGGAAGGAGTGGATTCTCACACCATTCAGTATCATAGAGGACCCCCTGCCCCATTTCACCTTCTACTATCCTTTCTTCCTTGTTCCCGACTCATGGGGAGACTACAACCTATGTGTTGTATTAAATATTTACTCTGCCAATTCAGGAAACACAAGTTACTCAAACTCTTCAGATTTTAATTTCCTCATTAATTAAATGAGGAGGTTATATGACACACTTTCTTAGTAAGAACTTTGTTCAAAACTCCAAATTCCCATTGATTTTCCTCTTTTGTGCAAGGGCTTGGGAAATGCTTCTTGTTTTTTATGCTGTTTTGGCCATACAATTCTTCCCACTTTGTTCCTCCCTCCCCACCCCCCATGGAGGTTATGGTACAACTGATCAGACTTCTGCTTTCTAAACTACAACCTCATTCCAATCCTTTCTCCTGAGACAGTTTGATTAGGTCACCATGATTAGATTTTTGCTAGTTATCAATTATAAATTCACAGGTTTCTTTTCTACATACTTATACTATTAGATTGATTTCAATTTAAAAGGGATTCCTTGTATTAATCAAGTAACGGCTTCAAAGTCCATGAACAATATTATTAAGTTTAGCCCTTTCTTCTTTTATCAGTGTAGATAGATTTAGTGGCATCTCATTGATGTTGGAAGGTACAGTTTCCATTTTTAGGGCAACTTATTTCTCCCTGGTTGATTTCTTTCCAACTCTGGGCCTGTGTTTAGCTCTATCTCCTAGACTTTTGTAAAAAATTTTTATAGTCCACACTGATGCCCTGCCTCAAATATGCCTTAAAAAAATAAGCTTGCTTAAAGTAAGGAGGCAGGGGGGAAAGTGAAATTCAAAAGAGAAGCACCAGACAAGAAAAACAGGTTAAAAATGTGTTTCTGAACAACAAAATAGAGGTTTTCCTGAGCACATGAATTCTGTATGAGTCACTGTTCTTTTATCTGCTTAACTGGAAAAATGTTAGCACTAATGTGAACTCACTGAAAATGTAACCAATACTACTGACTACTTTATGTCAGAGGGATTAAAAAACTGCTAGAAAGATGTCAGTCTTTACATTCTAAGAATCAGTTAAGGCACTATGAGTAGAGATAAATTGCCTCTGATCAATATTTTAAATAACTGTTTATTTTAAAAGATGAAGTTTTAAAAATGTAACATAAGACCCTTCTCCCATCTGAGAGGCATCCAAACTATAACCTGGGATTGGATTTTTAAAGTATGCCTCAATATGAAGTTTTCCAGGTTCATTAAGTTAGTTATAAAAGGATGTTTCTCAAGTTGGAGATGCTTACCTTCATTAACTTCATCATTTTCTTTGTCTACTTGTGCTTTCAAAACATACCGCTTTATAAGTCTTTTCATTATCTGCTGTTGGGCAAAAGTAAATGATTAGACCTCCACTGATATACATAAGTGCCCCGAATCTTATTTTCCAAAGAGGCTTACATACCTGTAAAGCAAACAACTTGGGAGAAAAATTTTTTATAACTATGTATAGAAAAATTATGCAGGTTTCAGAACTTAACTCTCTTAACGCCTTCTACTGAGACTTACTGCATAATCCACCAATACTTTTTTTTGCCTCAGAAATGGAAGAAGCTTTCAAAAAGAAGTTAAGCTTGAAGATTTGAATTCACGGCTTCTCTTTCAACTGACAGTTTCTTTTTGAGTTACATTGATGCTACATTATCACCCATAGACACTACCTTATTTCCCAGTATTTAGAAAAATACATTAATGTATGCTCTCGATAGAGAATTTGTAAAATACAGAGAAGAGCAACTAAATAATGAAATCATTAGCAACCTCACCATCCAATGATAATCACTGTTGTCATTTTGGTGTATGTCCTTCCAATATCTTTTCTTTAAATTTTGTATATATACTAATTACTGTATTATATTTTACATTTTCTAAATGCCATATATTTTGTTACATTGCATGCTTTTCTCTAATATCTATATATAGTGACTATTTTCAGTCTAAATAAATGCTCTTCTAGGATAACTGTTTATCCTTATGGAAAAAAATAAATTGGAGCCCTATTTCATACCCTGAATACAAAAATTAATACCATGTGCATCTTAAATGTGAAAGATAAAGCTTCTGAATCCTTAAAATAAAATATTATATAAGACAGTATATTTATAAATTTAGGGTAGGCCTGGATTTAAAAAAAAAACAAGATTAAAACTTCTGATTACAATAGAAAAGACTGATAAATGCAACTTCATTACAATTTAAAATTTCTGTTTATAGAGATACCATAAAGAAAGTGAAAAGATAAGTCACAGACTGGGAGAAAATATTGGTAATACTTGTAAGTAAAAATAATTTGGATCCAAATACATAAAGAACTTTAATTCAATAAGAAAAACTCAAATAACCCAATTTTAAAATGGGCAAAAGACAAACGAATGTTTCACAGAAATGGAAATGTGAAGGGTCAACAAGCTTAAGAAACAATTTCAAACTCTGTTGCAGGGAAATACAAATTATGACTAAAAGGAGACACAATTTTACATCTAATAAAGAGAATGATTAATGAATCTGGTCATGCCAAGTGTTAGAAAGGAGATGGATCAATGGGGACTTTTATATTTTACTGGCAAGACTGTAGACAACTTTGTTGACAATTTAGTATTATCTTTTTAGTTTTTAAATTGATTTATATTAAGAAAATTTTAGAGGTGGAGTCTCACTATACTGTACAGGCTTGCCTCAAACTCCTGGGCTCAACGCTGTCCTCCTGCCTCAGCCTCTCAAGCAGCTGGAGCTATAGGCATGAGCCACTGCAGCCAGGTGGTATTATCTTTTAAAGTTGAACATTTGCATGCCCTTTCACCTAGAAAGTCCACTTCTCAGTATAAGGTCTAGAGAAACTTTGCAGGTATGAACCAAGAGACATACAACAATGTTTGTAGCAACTCTGTCTGAAATTGCAAAACACTAGAAACAATCTAAACAAATATTAACAAGAATAGACAAATTGTAGTATGTTATAATGTAATGTTATTGTGTTCATTAATGAAATTAATGCACCATGGCCACACACAATAGTGTGGATGAATCTTAGAAGCATAATGTTGAATGAAAAATTCCAGTTGCAGAAGACCACAAAGTATGAAGCTATTCTTATGAAGCTCAATAACAAGTAAATCTATAAAATATATTTTTAGGAATATTGACACATATAATAAATTATATTTGAAAAGAAAATCAAAGCAAGAAGGGAGAAACCCAACTTCAAGATAGGGATTAACTGTTAGGTGAAGGCAGAGGAGTAGGTAGGGAGGTGCATATAAGTAGAGGCAATGGATGGATAATGTTATCATTGTCAGGTCGGTGGTGGTTTCATAGGTGTGAATGTAATTATGCTTCATAATTTATTTTGCATTATACATATTCTTATGCATGTAACAAATATTGTATATAAAAGATAACAAAGGAAAGGGAAAAAGACCTGAACTAAGATGCAGGCATAGCGAGAGTAGAAAATATATACTTCAATTTTAAGAAAGTAGAAATTACACCAAGGTCAAGTAAAAGACAGGAATCCAGGAAGATTCAAAATGTTATGCAGAGAATAACAAGAAACTGAGAGGGCCCATGCTACTGAAAAGGAAAAGCTCATTTTACCAGTCACTGTAAGATATAAAACCTGTTGAATTGCATAGAATCTAGATCCCAAGACAGACTCACAGCTGGATGGATCTTAAACAGGATTGATTCATTCATTCGGCAAATATTTATTGAAAGCCAGTTCCGTGGCAGGTACTGAACTAGGTGCTAGGAATACAACAGTGAACACAGTCCCCAGTCCAGTGAAACTTCATATTGATATGGAACAATTCACTATAATGGGTGAACATATCAGGGATCTGGTTAAATTTAGGGGACAGCGAAGACAGATTCCTATAAAACGAAAATACAAAGTTATGTGTATCAGTTAAAAGCAGCTTGAAAGGCAGTAATACAAATTGATGGAAAAGAAATGACTATTTAACAATTAGTGCTGAGACAAGTTGAGCCTCTGCACAAGGCAAGAAGGTACCTGAGGTTAGACAGAAATCAGTTTCCCCATATATGACACTACCTGGTAATAGTCCATCCCTTTGTTCATGTTGGAAAGATAATTCATGAGAATTCTAAAATGATCTGCAGCTCAGAGAAGGAGACAAAGATTAGCCATCCCCATTCTATTAGGAAGCTTGTCTAGTAAACCCAAGACAGTATTGTGTAATAGGCAACAAAGACTCTTGAGGCCTCTCTCCCCCTATTGCAATAGCTCCTGAATAAAATCTGTTTTTAGCTACTGTCTAACTCTGGTTTTCTTTAACACAGTTGAGACTGTGAGTTGCAAGAACAAACCATGTAGATCTGGAACCTTGGTATCTTAATCTGCATAATGGAAATGCTAGACTGTGTCTTGTAAAAGAGACAGTACATGTAAATTACATAGTAGGTCCTCGAATAATATAACTATTATTCTCTCATTATAATCTAAGCTCTGTAAAGCAAATCTCGATAAATCCATCTTAATGACAGTATCATAAGCAAGGACCATGAAACTCATATGTAACAAGTAAAAGTACCATTTTAAATACTACCTTTAACTAAATTTCCAACTGATTCTTTCATTAAAGCTAGTACTAAAAATTAAACTACCAATAACAGATTCATCTTTTTTCCCTCTTGCTCAAATTGCTAACTAACTAACACAATAGAAGTCAACAGATTAACTTCCACATTCCACAAACCTCCAGAAATTATACAGCTTTCTTGGTACAAGCCTGTGAGTCACTCTTTAAGGAAGACATTCTAACTCTATAAAGACTATTGATTTTCTCCGTCCAGGATATGGAAATCCTAAACAGAGGTTCCAAAACTGAAATTCAGTGGTAACCAGGTAAAGATCCCAGGCGGTACTTACTTCAAACAGTCCTTCCTGCAAACAAACCCAACTTCATTTTTCAACCCTCCATTAAGACTAGGAGAAGAAATAAGATGTGCGTGGTTGGGTAGCTGTGAGGTGGTTAGATATCTTCCTTCCCAAAAGGAGTGAAAGCTTTTCTTCTCACTTGGTATTTTTCACTGAATCAAATTCAACTAATAATTGTTAAGCACTCTATCAGGTGCTTTTACATTCATTCTCTCATTTAATTCTACAGAGAAGCCAAATTTGACTGTCATTAGTAGGTTTTGTACTATGAATTTTAACAACCTGAAAAGTGTCAATGAAGGGTAATAAGACTGATGTAGACAAATAGAAAAAAACTCAGAAGTATAGAGTAAAATTTTCGACAGGAAAAGAACCTTAGGAATCATTGTTTTTCATGTTTTTATACCACTCATGAAACTTTGTGAAAGATTACCATTACACAGCTTCTGTATAAACTTCTGTGACTGAGGGCCTGCTATTTTTTCAGACAGCTGGTTTAATCTATTTTTGGACAACTATAGCTGTTAGAAAACAACTCCTTTGTATTGAAGCCAAAATAACTATCAGTCCAAGTTCTGTTCTTTGGGGCAACAGAGAATAAATCTGTTTATCCTTCTACTTGATTGACTTTTACCTGTTACTTTTTTCTGTGGTTTTTTTTTTTTTTTTTTTTTTTGAAGAGGGACCTGCAAACCTATTGCTTGACTTTAAAATATCCTCTCTTCTAGGTTTCCCAGTTCTGTTGACCTAAAGAAAAAATCTGAGGCAAACTAAATATATAAGTAGAGAGTTTATTTGGGCCAAGTTTAAGGACTGCAACCTGGGGAGCACAGATTCAAGTTGCCCTGGATATGTGCTCCAATTAGCAGCAAGTACTAGTGAGTTTTTAAATGTAAAGAAGAGGCAGTTCCTAAGTTGTTTATCAAGGATTTGAAATAACATAAGCTTTTGAATGGTCATACATTGTTCTTTGCATCACAAATTCCAGGAACATGAAGATAACAGGTGAGGCTGCAAGTCAGGAACAAATGAATTTAGACAACCATCCTCAGGCATGGGTAGAGGTAGGGGGCTGTGACTGAAAGTCCCATACTCATGTTCTCTGGGCCTGTATACCTCACATAGTTCAGACTGCTCTGAGCTATTTTTGTTTTCTCTATTCCCAAACCATTTATATTTCATTGCATCTATATTTATTTCTATTTCATATATAGGCATAACTATACCACAGAGTATGTAGCGTTATGTGAGTATTTGTCTACTTATTCTTTCCTTTCTTTCTTCCTAACCTCAACACTGCCATTCTACTTCAATGTAGAGATTTTTGAAGCCATGACCTATATCTTTGTATCTGTATAACCTAACATCATGTATAACAGGGGTTGTCCTGAATGTGCCTGGAAGCTCACTGTGAGTGGAGTTC